CTAGCCTTGTTCTCGAGAAGGACGAGAGAGAGGAGTTCCTTAGACGTGAGAATGAGCTCCAGGACCAGATCGCGGAGAAGGAGTCGCACATTGCGAACGTCGAAAGAGGTCTCCGTGAGGCACGGGAGGAGCTGAGGAGCATGAAGGAGAACTCCGCCCGCTCAGGCAAAGACAACGATAAGTTGACTACCGAGGTTAATGAGCTTCGTATGCAATTGGAGAAGGTGTCCTACGAAAGCAAGGAGGCCGCCATCACTATGGACAGCCTCCGCGAGGCTAACTCCGAGTTGACCACCGAGTTGGACGATGTTAAGCAGCAGCTTCTCGACGTTCGGATGAAGGCCAAGGAGACCAGCGCTGCACTGGACGAGAAGGAGAAGAAGAAGGCCGAAAAGATGGCGAAGATGATGGCCGGGTTCGACTTGGGCGGTGACGTGTTCTCCGATAACGAACGCAAGCTTCAGGACTTGATCCAGCGGGTCGATTCCTTGCACAAGGTCAGCGAAGCCGGCGAGACGATCGCGCCTGACGACCTTATGGAGCTGCGGGCGAGTCTCCTGGAGACCCAAGGGTTCATCCGTCAAGCCGAGCTCACGATGAACGACCGGGGAGATTTCAATGAGCTGCAGGACAGCCGTAGAGCGGAAGTTGAGCAGAAGCTGGCGAATCTCGAGCGGGACTATGAGAACCTTCTGGAGCGGAACCTGGGCGAGGGCGATGTGGAGGAGATCCGGGAGCGGTTGGAGAAGGTGTACGTGACCCGAAAAGAGGCCGAAATGCAGGCAGTCACGGACCTTAGGAACGAGATTGCACGCAAGGATGATGAGCTGGATAAGCTGCGGCTGTCCCTTGCAGACTCTCAATCCCGGGTCTCGACCAACGGCGCCGCCGGCAAGAACCTGCAGCAGCAGATTGCCGACTTCGATGCCATGAAGAAGTCGCTCATGCGCGACCTCCAGAACCGCTGTGAGCGCGTTGTGGAGCTTGAGATCTCGCTGGACGATGCTCGGGAGCAGTATAACAACGTTCTCCGCTCGTCGAACAACCGGGCTCAGCAGAAGAAGATGGCGTTCCTGGAACGCAACTTGGAACAGCTGACTCATGTACAGCGGCAACTGGTAGAACAGAACAGCAGCCTGAAGAAGGAGGTTGCTATTGCGGAGAGGAAGCTCATTGCCCGGAACGAGCGGATTGCGAGCTTGGAGAGCCTGCTCCAGGAGAGCCAGGAGAAACTCACCCAAGCGAATCACCGGTACGACCCTCTCCACTCCTTTGATGAAACCACGAAAGCGGGTTGCTGACTAGATGATGATACAGATTTGAAGCCCAACTCACTGCGGTCAAAGAGCGACTCGAAGCTGCGAAGCAGGGCTCTACGAGGGGTCTTCCAAGTATGGATGGCAGCGGCGGTTTCAGTTTTGGCGGCTCGAGAATCGCAAAGCCGCTCCGAGGCGGCGGCGGAGGGAACGAGAGCAGTGCTCCAGTTGCAGGAGTCCAGTCGCAGGAGACTGGGAAGCGTACCAGCTGGTTTTTCGATCGACGATGATCCACGATTTCTCTTTTGCTGTCTCTTTTACCCATTCTCCGAAAATATTTGAAGCCCTGTTGACATATCGATATCCTCGCGTACGGTCATTGACATGACGTTGGATGAACGCGTTCTATATTTTATTTCATGATTGTTTCTTTATTTTTTATCCCTTCTTTCCTCCCCTCGTTTTGAGATCTGGCACATTCGGAGTCCCCAGCCTATGTCACGAGAGGCCTATGGTTCTCACCGATACCCTTGTACATGACAGATAGAAGTGTTCACGGCCGCAGTAGTTGATTGCGACAGTGGGTGGATGATAGAAATGACACGTTAGATTATGGAATGGTGTTCCGTAGCTACATTCTCATCTAGTGCTATGTTATCTGGTTCAAGTTCGCACTTTGCTGGTTCCGTGCTTGCAGACCAGATCCCAACTTTCCACGTGATGACATGCATGATAGAGATGATCCCTTCCAAGATATTTTTCACCGCCACAAAATCTTATAGGCATTCCATGCCCGTCTGACTACCTACTGTGGTATGTGAGTAATAAGCTTGTGCTAGTGTTCTGGGCCTGGGCCATAGAGCAGTGAAGTTAAGAGTTCATCTCTTCGAACGGACTGGAGGTCCCCTGTCAGGTGATATCGCCATCGCTTGTTTCCCCTACTGTCGCTCCTCCATTCCTCCAGCTAAGCTCTACAATGGAGTCATGTCAAAGCCATCCAAAGCTTATCCCCTTGCCCGTCCATGTGCATGTCGGTTCGCTTACAGGAATGTCACCAACATGTCTCCCTCGCTACAGGATTCAGCAGCCCAATGGGCCTGTACGTATGCGCCGCTCATGGGGAATGTACTTAGACAAGAGTGACCACCTGCTCACACACTGACAGGTTTCTCTTCACCCTTTTGAGGGTCCGCATTCCTCTTACACGGGATTCAATGCTTCGCCTTTCTATCGGGCCCTGGACTGGCGGTCTTTATTGGTCGATACACCCCACACCCGGCGAGATCTGAGAGATCGATCGCGCATCCTGACAACACATACATCAGATCCACGCACGAGTTGCATTGCGGCTGGCTGAAGGTCTCTTTAAGAAGTATTAAAGGAGACCCTTGCAATAGATGCGACACTTCCACACCAAGACCGCTACGCTGTAATTATCTCCACGCCAGTACCTTTGGAAACAGCCATTTCAGCCACATAGTGCTTCACGAAGGCCAGCAGATTTACGACGCCGTATATTCTGAGCACAATCCAGAACCATGACTATCAGCGCCAAAGCAACGGCAACCGAGGATCGCTCCTCGAAGCCACTTATTATCATTGCCTGCGCAACAATAACGGGGCACACTCTCCCATTACTGCCTCACGCCAACGAGCTGACCAAACAAGGCTTCGATGTCTCCTTCATTGGTGGTCCAGAGTTCGAAACCCTCATTCGCAAAACTGGCGCCACCTTCTATCCAATAGAACATTTATACTCCCAGGAGAGCCTAGACTACCTGGAATCAATTCCTGATCGCAGCGCCCGCATTATCTGGGGCCTAAAGAGATTTTTCATCGACTTGACCGCATCCAGAATGAAGTCACTACAAACCGTCCTGGAAACTCTCCGCGAAAAGCACCCAAATCGCGAGGTCGTTCTCATCCAGGAGCTCGGCTACATGGGAACCTGGCCATACCTTCTTGGTGCACCTCCACCCAAAGGTTACAAGCAATTTCCCAAGACCCTCACATTCACCACCACACCGTTGCTTGTCACAAGTGTCGATACAGCACCGTTCGGGAGCGGTTTAGCTCCCGACTCCAGCGATGACGGCCGAGCCCGCAACGCTGCGTTGTACGCCGCCGAGAAAGTTATCCGCGATGAGCTAGTTGACCATAGCAACAGCGTGTATGCATCGCTTGGAGCAACCATGAAAGTAGACCAGTGGTTATTCGACCTGTGGAGCACCCATACCATCCTCCTGCAGCCCTGTTCCCCAAGCTTGGAGTACCCGCGCAGCGACCTTTCACCGAAAGTCCGGTTCATTGGCGGCACACCATGCAGGAAAACCGACCTATCCACACCCCTGCCTGAATGGTGGGGTGAGTTGGAGACGAACAGGCACGCAGCGAACCCGAAGAAAGTCGTCTTCGTTACGCAGGGTACTGTCAAAACTTATTATAAGAACTTACTCATTCCCACCATACAAGCATTTGCCGACCGACCAGATGTCATGGTCATCGGTGTGCTGGGAGTGAAAGGCGCAGTATTGGACGAGGATCACAAGATACCCGACAACGCCAAAGTCATCGATTACCTCTCATACGATGCGGTGCTTCCGTACGTTGATGTCTTCGTGACAAACGGCGGGTATGGCAGCTTTATGCATGGCGTGATGAACGGGGTGCCCATGGTGTTAGCCGGGACAGTTCGTAAGTACTCTCTCAACTTAGGAGACACCTAATCACTGACAATAAATAGAAGACAAAGGCGAAGTATGCATGCGCGGAGAATGGGCCGGAGTTGGAATCAATCTACGGACTGATACACCCAGCCCAGAGACCATTCGAAAGAATGTAGAACGGATATTGAGCGACCCTAAATACAAGGCTCGTTCAGTGGTGATCCAGCGGGAGAACGAGGAACTGGATAGTGTTAGTTCACTACGACGGTATATCCTCGAAGACGAGTAATCACATTCAAAGTTCAAAACAAGAAAAAAAATTATCGAAAAGCAAGCATTTATACTTATATCCCAATATTATGGTTAATGCACATGCCAAGAGTTACCCTTAATCAAATAAGTAAGCACCAATCGCCACCCACCAACGAAAACAAAGGGCAAGATGGCCGAGTTGGTCCAAGGCGTCAGGTTTAGGTCACCTAAATAAATCAGCTTGTTTATTAAAGCTTCCTGATCATCTTTCGATGGCGTGGGTTCGAATCCCACTCTTGTCAATTTATTTACTTCCTCTTCTCTTCTTTTTCTTTTTTGTAGTTTCTAATCACCTGCTGTTGCATTTAGTGTTTGTTGATTTGGTTGGAGGTTCTATGTTGGTATGTCGATGAATGATGGAGAGAACTGCTTCGGGGTTTTGGTTGTATGCGGTGAGTTATTAAGTATTACTTAGTGTCGTTTGGTGAGGAAGGTGTGTACTTCTGGGCTGATTGGTAGTATATTTTATAATGTATATAGGCGAGGCCACGGGCACTATATAGTCGTTAACTTGGTAGGTACACTAATTTTTTACTTCTTGAGGTAAGTATATAGTACCAACAACGATAGGACCATCAATCGCCGGTAACATAAATAGCAATGCGCGTCCTTTCCTAGATTCCTTGAGTGTAGTTTGAATTCTATTCCATGGAAAATGGAGCTGACATTTCTATTCTATGTACACCATATTCTACACATAAACAAGCAGAGCGGAGAGGGGTATCATCTACTACATATCGTACAAAAACAGCGCCTATACCTTCACTCACGACTTACTCTCTTTGACTGTAATCATAATTTCACTCAAATACGGATCCTCAGCCAGCTCCTTGGCCGTCTTCCGGTTCTCAGGCAACCATTGCAGAATATTCCTAGCGAAGGCCAGAAACTCGTCTTTTTCTGTGCCCTTGAGACAGGTTACTGTGTCTTCGAGAGTCTGGCTTTCTGGGATGAGGTGTTTGTGTAGGAAATCACCTATATGCCGTGGTGGTGTGTTTTGTGAGCATAGTATCTATACTGGATCATGAATAGTAGGTAGGGTTGGTATACACTCACCATTATCATCAAAGAACGGCCCACCGAACCACTCTGCGGGCGAGTTACAAAGTTTTCCGTCTGGATTCCGTAATCCAATACCGAATGTTCGGTTGAGTCCTTCTTTCTCCTGGGCTATCAATTCCTGAGGTGGCGGGCCCAGAAAGGCTATCATCTGCGCGAGATGAGCGGTCGGGGTGCCTCTTAGGTTTGAGTCGCGGGCGTTGGAGAAGAGTATTTTGTCTTCGATCAGTTCCCACATCTATATCAAACACATTGTTAGTATGTAGCAGTTTGGTTAGTGAGGTGGGTGGGATACCATTACTCCTAGGTTCCATATGTCGGCGCTGTATGACCAGCCCGCGCCGAGGAGTACCTCGGGTGCGCGGTAGCAATCCGGTTGAATTGGCCAGGTGTTTGTGACGTTGTCGAGTTGGAATTGAGCGGATCCAAAGTCAGACAGAATTGGAAGGAAGTCAAGGGATTTGGGGCGGCCGAAGTTGTTGTGGCAGAGGTAAATGGTATAGTCGCCGATTGTCTTTTGGGACATAGGTTTTGATGGTTGGGACTGGGCAAAGCTGTGTAGGACTGAAGGGTCTTCGATGGTTGTGAGGATGTTGGCCGCTTTTATATCTATGTGCTTGTAAATCATGAGGAGGCTGCTGGATATCCAGTGGGGTTTATGATGGTACTAGCCGGTGTGGATGATCTTGCATTCGGAGTGCAAGTAGTCGAGTCCTATTAGGAGGAACTTCATGTAGGCTTTGAAGATGTCAAGAGGAAATGTGTCGTTGATGAACCGGCCTTGTAGAAGGGTCAAGGGCTCTCGCAGTGGCTCGTAGGCCAGACAGATGTGTGTCCCATTGGGGCTTTTCTCTTCGAAAGAATCAATGAAGGTTCTCTGAAAAGAGTGGCCTAGATGTTTGGGATTGGCGTCGCGGATGCACTGTTCCATATTGAGTTCATGGCTTTCGTGGCCTTCTGCGTAGTTGCAGGTACCGATTTTCAATGTCAGGTAGCGTTCTGGTAGCCATTTCCATCTAGTACGGACCGGGCATTAGCGCTGTGGAGATAAGATGGGGTTGGCGGCATAGTACTGTTGGAGATCGCGGACAAGCCAGACAGTGGAGCTCGTTCCCCAGCCAAGCTTTGTCAGAGCTTCATATCGATCATTGAAAATGTATCCAGGTTTAACGGGGAAATAGGCACTGGGCTTGAAGCCTGGAACCTTCTCCTCTTCGATCTTGGGTTCGGGAGGAAGCTCCAGGCCAGTGCCATGGAACGAAGTGCGGGACTTGCGCCCCAATGCTGACCATGCACGAAGTGATTGGGCGAGTCGCTTAGCCATGTTCTACTTACTTAGCGTAATGGAAGTAGATCGCGAGGGGAGTTGCATGATGGAGTGAGAAAGCTGAAAGGAGAAGGAGCTGTCACCGCGCATCCCTGCATGGCTTATATAAGCCTGTCATACAATGGATTCAGTCTGACTCCCTCTTTTTCCCGCTCTCTTCGTTCAACTTGATGACGATGACACGGATGAATTTTGGACAGGCTTACCGGAGTCTCAGCTTTTTTTGTCTGGGCTGACATGCTAATAGCGACGGGGCGTGCCTTAGTGCTTACTAGATGTCTAAATGCGAGCACTAACACCTGCTAGCGGAGCTTCATTCATCCATAAGGCTGCGGGGTGCTCAAAAATATAAAGCGCAGTCATGTCTCCAGGCTGCCAATTCTCTTCTTTCATCAGTATCTCATCAGTTGTAGACAATTATCACCGAACGCTAATAACAGCACATACTCAATGGCATCTTCTTTCCAATCCCCGTTCCCTTTTCCTGGAGTCAAGCACGGCCAGCGCATCCTCACATCCGTAATCGAAGCCAGAGCCGAATCAAACAACACCCCAGCATGGGTTTCCGTTCCGATCGATGATCAGGACCTGTCACAGGGATTTCGCGACATTAGCTTCAAGGAGCTGAACAACGCGGCCAACCATGCAGCCCACTGGTTGAAGCAGAACCTGCCTCCGACGTCCGAGCCATTCCAGTGTTTTGCCTATGCTGGACCGAAGGATCTTCGATACCAGATTCTGGCAGTGGCGGCGGCGAAGGTGCAGAAGGTGGTACGTACGACCCTCAGACACTTGAAGGAATTCATTCTGAGCATATAATAGATGGTCCTTCCCTCGCCGCTAGTCACAGCCGAAGCGCAGCTGCACATTCTTGAGAAGAAAGGATGCACAGTCTACTTAAGACCGTCATCAATGGAAGCGCCTGTTGCAGAGATCCTAAAAGCAGCTCCACATGTCCAGACAATTACCGTGCCAGACATTGAAGCCTTCATGCAAGAGGCAGAAGCAGAACCAGTCAACTACAGCAAGACATTCGAGGAAGGCAAAGCTGATCCATGGCTAGTATTCCACACATCAGGCACAACAGGTGAACCCCTCCCCTCTTCCCACTCACAATCAATACAATATACTTACACCCCCAGGAAACCCCAAACCCGTAACCTACACGCACGAAATGATGGCCGGAGCAGACATTGTCGCCTCACTCCCAGACATCGGCGAGACCCAAATCCACCACTACGCCCAGCGCCGCTGCTACACCCCACTCCCATCCCTCCACGTACGCCCTTCCCCTCTCCATACCCCCATCCACCCCAATCCCTAACTCACCCCCGAACCACAGTTCGTAGGCATGGCCCTCTCCCTCTCGATGACAACCTTCATCCACATGACCGCCGTAATCGGGCCCCCCACCCCACCGACCCCCTCCACCATAATCTCCCTCCTCAAGCACGGCAACATCACCACCGCAATGTTCCCACCCTCCCTAATCGACGCCCTAACCCTCACCCCAGAGGGCCTCTCCGCCCTCCACTCCCTCCACTACATCCACTACGCCGGCGCCCCCTTATCCCGCAAAACCGCCTCCCTCCTACTCCCCCACGTCCCCATAATCCCCGGAGTCGGCAGCACCGAATCCGGCGGGTACTTCACGGAACTGCACCCCCACCAGAGCGACGCATGGGACTACCTAACCTTCAACAAGCAGCACACAGGCGTAGTATTCGAGCCTCGCGGTCACGACTCAACCACTGAATCCCAACTGCACGAACTGGTCTTCGTCCGCGACGCTACCTGCGCCCTCCAACCCATCTTCAAACTGTACCCGGACCTCACGCGCTTCGAAACGAAGGATCTATGGCAAGAGCACCCGATTCATAAGGGATTATGGAAGATTATTGGGAGAATCGATGACTACGTGTACCTGTCGCACGGGGACGGGGTTAATGCTGCGCTGTTGGAGCAGGAGATTGTGGCGCATCCGGGGGTCAAGAATGCGTTGATTGGGGGACATGGAAGGGATAGACCGGTGTTGGTGGTTGAGGCTGTGGAGGGGGTGGATGTAGAGGATGAGAGGGAGAGGAGGGAGTTTGTAGAGTCGTTGAGGCCGTATATTGAGAGGGTTAATGGACGGTGTCATGAGAGTGTAAGGTTGGGAATGGAGAGGGTGGTTGTAGCGAGCAGGGAGAAGCCGTTTGTGTTGACGGGGAAGGGAAGTGTGGCGCGGTGGAGGACGTTGGAGTTGTATGAGGGGGAGATTGGAGAGGTTTGTGCGTAGGGTTGATTAGTATATAGTAGATTGGTAGTAGTGGGGGTGGATGTTTGAGAGAGGTATATTGAATGTACTGTCATGGATAGGCGGATATGTTCTCCGCTGATATAGATCTAACAAGTAAATATAGATTGCAGCTGTGCGGGAATTGATATTCCTAGTATTTCGATTATATACACCCAACTCCTGAAAATCTGGCCAATGCAACCAATCATTCGTTTGTTACAGTAGACCAAACCGTTACTTTTTCGCATATACACATCAATCCAATCCAATCCAGCAGAATCATGTCCCATCTTCGCCAAACAAATCAATGGGTATCTAGAGATCCGTCAACCAAGCCATCCCAAAACTCAAGACAAGCACGCCAAGACAATTCACAACTCCAAACGCGCTATACATGAACTAATTTTCAAATCAATCAACAATACGCACCCGCACGCCGTCCATTCCCATCGACGATGTCAACTGATCCATCCAGTCCGTCGTCGGACCCTGCTTATAGTCCGGGGTGATCAATGACTCCACAACGAGCTGGGGATGTCCCGGTGAGCTAGACGGGGTCTGCGGGGAGCTGTACTCCGACGCCGGACTGACCACACTTTCCGGAGATGGCGGGTTGGATGGTAGACGAGCTTCTTTCTGTAGGGTTTCACGCTGGCTCGGGTCCAGCATGATGACGAGGTAATTCAGGATGGTGAGTCCGGCGTGTACGCCCCGCGTGACATGCGCCGAATAGCCCTCAAAGAAGAATTGCGGCAGTGGTCCGATGAACCCGCGCGGCTGACTGTGGCCGGCACGGAGCATGGAGATGGACACGCCAAACTCGGTGTGGATACCGCGCAGGGTAGCGCGGGTAGCTTGTACGCTTTGCAGCAAGGGGGGTTCGAGCTTGGCCCGTTTGGTTAAGGGCAGGGAGAGTAGATCGCGGACGCGTTTGACGTAACCGGGGATCTTTATAATCTCGCGCAGACCCCGGTCGACGACGTCCGTATACAATGACGAATCGGGAAGCTTGGCGTTGTCGTCGGAGATCTGCTCGTTGAGGGATTGCCATTCGGGCTCCTCGAGAAAGCAGGCTTCGCCCTCAATGAGGGCAGCGGAGACAAGGATCGGTCGGTAGACGATGTACATGGCACGACCGAAACCATAGAGATGGGCCTTGGGGCCGCGAAGTTTCAGTAGTGCGCGGATACCGTGGGCGTGGTGGATCCACGCCTCTGGGCCGGTGCAGTGGTGTTTCTCGAACACGGCGAGAACGATTGCGGTGGAGAGGGCTTCGTCGGATTTGGCAGTCGACTCGTCGGCAAGAAGGCCGGCGAGACCGCCGAGAGAGCGGGTGTAAAAAGAGCGCGCGACTTCATTGAATTCAGGGATATCGTAGAGGGAGGCGGTATAAGACAAGGTGCAGGCACGGATGGCCCAGTCGAAGCATGAGTTCATGGCGCCACGTCGACGGTCGACATATTCGACCCAATTGACGGGCACGCGAGTTTCGGTGCATTTGAAGAAGCAAGGGAAGGCAGTGAGAACGTAATTAGTGAAGATCTGGGTTTGTTGTGCGGAGACTGCAGTGACGGTCAAAGACGGCGAGACGGATTCGTCCATTGACAGCGGCAGCGGGGCGAATCGCACGTCGCGCCCGCGGGCCGAACCTGGAGAAGGCGGGTCCCTCTCGCGGGGCGGGCGGGGGACAAGTTGCGACGACGCGGTAGAGGTGGAAGTAGAAGAGGTAGTGGAAGTAGTCGGTGAGATTGAAGTGCGATAACGTTGTTGGAGTGCAGGTACTTCGTTGCGAAATTTGAAGGTTCGGGTCTGACTTAGACAGGGCACATTGCGCGTTTTGCAGTGGTTACAGGGAGATTTGCCGTCACACTAAATGAGAGCCAATGCTGACGGTTAGAACCTGACCTCACACACACAGGGGCGGACACCCGGAGAATTAAATGCAGCAACAGCAGAAGCCTGGTGGATACCGAGTGGTCCAGAAAGGAATGTCGGCAGTTGACATCTGGGCAGGATTAGGGGGCAAAGCATGCAGCAACAGACAAAGAAGCAGCAGCCAACATCTGTGCAACACAGGGTTCAGGGGTCGAGCACAAGAAGAGGAATGGCGACTAGTAGACGCCAGGACGGGCGGCCCGATGCTTGGGGGAGGACAGCAAACAATGAAATGAAGCCAACGACCAACACGGAACCATCAGTGATTCGATTATGATTCGTATCACTCACACACGCACCTGAAGATGGGCGTCAGCGCAGGCCCGACAACCGCGTGGCACTCGGACCATGCTGAAGATAGATCAACAGCCCCAGCCAGACCGGTGCGATCTGGCAGCCAAGGCATGGAGAAGATGTGAGGCAAGGACGCAGGGGGGTGCGCGCGGGGGGAGGGAAGTGAGGGAGATCGAGCGACGTGAGAACAAAAGGGGGGGAAGAAAGGAGACAAAGTGAAGGGAGAAAAGAGAGAGGATGATTTGAATACGAGTGAGAGTAATGTGAGAATGAGAGGGGAGTGGATAAGCGAGGGGTTGTGTGGAAGGGAGAGGGAGAGAGAGAGATGGGAGAAAGGAATGGGGAAAAGGCAATGTTTGGGAGGAGGAGGAGGAGGAGAAGGGAAAGGATGGCGATGAATGAATGGATGGGATGGATGGATGGATGGGATGGATGGATGGTGGATTTGGAGGTGGAGCACGCATCGGCAGGGCTGGGCGAAAGAGTCTGGACTCAATTGGTTGCGAGGAAATTCATGGACCAGAGGGACGGCCTTCAACTCTCTCCAGGATTATTCCCAAGAAACTCCAGGATTGACGGATGGCCTCGAGTTTGTCCGGGTGATTCCAACTGATTGGCCCGCTGCCTGTCCGGATCGACACCGGGAGGCGATCCATCATCTCATCCTCTTTTCTTTCTCACTTGACTGCTACTTGTCCCAAGGAGGATCATTATACTGGTGTTACTCAACAGCTACTACTGCTGCTACTACGACTCACAACCTGCAAAATATCCATCCATCCATCCATCCATTACAGAGAAGAAGAAGAAGAAGATTCTCCAATTCTCCCCCACACGAACCCCATCCCATGTGCCATCCACGCAACCCACACAATACTCAAACCTTATACCAAGCAAGCAAAGCATAACCCGCATAGCGATAAACTTCCCCCTCCCGACCGCACACAAGGAATAATTCAAAAAAAACTCAGTTCAAATTCCATCCACGTCTAGATCCTAGCCCGGTTAAAATCGGAAAAGCACACCCGTTCCTGGCCGTCTTTATAATTGGCGGATACTAGAGCCAGGAAGTTAGTAAGTATTAATAACTCGCAGGAACAATAGAACCATCCTACTATACTTATTTATGTGGGATGATCATCATGACACTGATGTATGGTAAGATAGAAAAGGAAAGAGATAAAAATAACAAAAGACAAGAAAAGAAAGAGCATCATGCACGGTGCCCAATGTAGTCCATCCGGTCCGTGATGCGTGATGATCGTGCAGATGAAGAATCCATCATTCGTCACTGGGATGATAAGGGAAAGGGGAAAAAAATAAAAAAAAAAAAAAAAAGCAAATTAATGCTCACTAATGGGGGACAGATCCCGGTTCTCGGGAGGAGGAGTCCAGCTTTTTTAAAATTAAAATGAAGAAACTAAGTATATTTACTTATTTGAAGGTTAAATGATTTATTTAGTATATTGCTTGTTTATTTTGGTTGGTTGCTGGCCCTACTAGTACTATGTATCACCGAATCAAATCCCGGGTGATGTGGATGCTTTTAGTATAGTACTTAGTTAGTACTCACTAGTACTAGTTGCTGGGAGGTATTGGTAAAGAAGATGCGATGTGTAATCCTTTGAATGAGCATACTAAATCAGATACAAATCCTGGTCAACGCAACCGCTATTCGATGGATGAGCTGTCTGTATCTGTCTATAGTCACTGCAATAGTAATCTTGACACATGCGAGGTAGTAACGCCGCTACAAAAACAACCTGCCAACAAATAATCAAAATAACAGCTAAACGACTATGTACATACAAGCATTCATGAATATTTTCATAGGCCGGGAATTGACCCCCTTTCACCCGTCTGTACATACCCGGGTGGTCTCCAACGGCCATAGTTCCGGCTCCAGCAAGAAGTAAAAATGTAGACGGACGATCAACCGGATGCCGCCATGAGCAGCCGACCAACTACCGGCATTTCGTTAATGCCAAGGCGTGGCGGTGGATTCCAAGCTTGGACGCATTTATCATGTCAATACGAGCAGTAATGGGAATCCTGAAGAATGAGCAAACAAAAAACAAAAAGAAAAAGAAAACAAGAAGCAGCCAAGTCACAAATATGGATGAAAAGAAGCGGAAACAGATAAAGCATGTCAACAGTTAGCGCCAATTCACCAGGAGGAGAGTTTCACCATCCAAGACATATCAAGGAAGCGCAGAAGCAACCATGGGCATAATGCGACCGGCCCGCCCAACTAGACAGCAGCAAGTGATAGTGTTGTTGTAGTCGTTGGCCGATCTGTCCCTACACCAGCCCATCGTACAACGACAGCGCGCTGACAATGGTCTCGTCCCGCTTGCTGCCCTCCTTGAACTCTTCCATGTCGAGACTGCCGTTCTCATCCTTGTCCATCATGCGGAAGATCTTGCGCACCCGCTTCTCCGGCGTGTCCTCGTCTTCGGGCAATTTGACCATCGAGCCCACCTGTGGTGCAGAGAAGGGGGGGTCAGCCGGCGTGGGGGCCAAAATATGGAACGGCGACTAGGCGCGCAGCACTTACCATCTTGTAGATCGCCTCAACGATCGCCAACATTTCGTCATACGTGATCTTGCCATCACCATCGATGTCATACAATTGGAAGGCCCAGTCCAGCTTGTCCTCCATCTTGCCGCGCGACGTGACCGACAAGGCGCAGATGAACTCTTTGAAATCGATCATGCCGCTGTTATCCGAGTCGAACACGCGGAACACATAATTTGCGAATGACGACGGGTCGCCAAAAGGGAAAAATTGCCGATAAATTTTCTGGAATTCCTCCTTGGTGAGTGTCCCCGACGGACAGTCCTTCAAGAATCCTGCCCCGCAGCGATTCGTCAGCGGCTGCTTCTACAACGGGGAGAGGAAATTGGCCGGGAGCAACCGGTCGCAAACCCATGATATATCTGTCACACACCTTTATACCATTGTTGAAGTTCCTTCTTGTCGAAATGCGTGGCCTTTTGGAGTTCTTCCAGCTGGGAGGGGGACAACTTCGACTGTCTGAAAGACCGGTGAATAAATTAGTTTGATGCGGACAAGCGGGGCACACGAGGTCCGGGGTAGCAGGGGTAGATTCTAAGGGGATAAAAGTAGGGCGCCAGCGAGGAAATATGGACAAGCATCAGACAACTCCCATCAGGATCTGTATTACTCCGCAGCGCAGTCATTGTTGCTAGAGTGCGACCATCCATGGGTGTCCGTTGTCCTGCCCGAGGGGGTTCCCTTGTTGTTCCTGGCCAGACCCATGCGGAGCGATCGGAAAAGCGCAGCACTTACGACTTGCCCATCTTCAGATCACACACACGCTCCAAGCGCTCGGGTCGAATGTAGAATGTCTTTGTAAAGAGGAAAAAATCGCTGGGATCGATGTATCACGGGTGAGAACGCGCGATGAAACAGGGTCTCTCGGAAGGCGCGGGGTAGAGGAAAGTTTGGGTTGGATTGATAAGAGCGTGCGCTGCTTGGCCGAGGGGCAGAAGAAAGGGCGGTCGATCGGATTGAACCAGCACGGCTGACAAGGTAGGGTAGGTAGTATTGGAATGCTAGGTCGGAGGGGGAAAAGTGCAGATCAAAAGCTGAGACAGCGGAAAAAACGGAGAGGAAGGAAAGGCTTCGTGGCGATGGGCAGGAGAAAGAGTCGGGGATGCTGGAACTGGAAGAGCCGCGGGTCCAGAACACGGCGGCTTGGCGGCTTCACTTTGTGACGAGGTTTGAAGCGTAAGCGGTTTGAGATCCACGGCTCCCACTCGCTCATCCACCAATTGTTCCCCTCCGCCTTCCCGTCCCCCTGCTTCTTCTACCTTCTTCTACGTCGGCCTAGAGCGGTCGAGGCTATCTGCTCCGATCTACTTTCACTCTTATTCCTGCATCCGTACTATGCGCGGCCCGTATCGTACATTCAATCGTGCGCGTCCATCATTTCTAATTCTGCCAACGGGCGTCGCCTGCCGAACACCCGCGTCCAGACTTTCCGACTTCTCTATGTACACATCATAACCATTACAAGCGCGAGTGAAGCAAAGAACCAAAACCAACAGATGCGAATTTGAAACACAGCTATACAGGGGATATCCTAGCCCAGCACCATCCAGACCGCATCAAAGCGAATTTTACGATGTATATATCGAAAAAGCACAGTTGCGTGAAGCGTCCTCGCGGTCACCGCGCGTGCTGAGTCGGTGCGGAGTTCCCTCCTGCGACTGTACCGGAGGAGATTTCGGCATTTCTACGACTCCGGGGGCGGGCCGCGCCGCGACGAGCGATCGCTCATGTTAGAAGTTTCAAACGGCTTAGTCGACCTTGATGGAGCCGTAGATACGCTGCACGAACGCCCAGCTGGCGAAAAACCCAATGGATCCTAGTCACAGGGTCAGTGGAGTGAGTCTTTTTGGGAAGCTCGCAAGGGTCCTTACCAGTCAAGATGAAGACAATAAATCCGAGGAGAGCGGAGTAGCCGACATACAACACCGCGCCGGTGAAACCACCGAAGCTGACCCGGGTGATCCAGAACAGAATTGCGTTCAAGAAGACGTACCCGCCGGTCATTCCCGCGCCGGCAAACGCCCGCCAGTGCCACCGGTAGTTTTCGGCGCACAGCAAGAAGTACACCAGAAGCACGGTCGTGGCAGCAGATGTGATAACCATCAACCCGTAGCAGAGGAACAGGAAGCCAAACATGTAGTAAATCTTGTTCGTCCACAGCGAGGTCATGATAAAGTAGAGCTCCACGAAGATCGCTCCGAAGGGGAGGATACCGGTCAACAGCAGAGAGGGAACAGTACGCAGCGTACCCGTCATCGGAGGGACCTGGCGGGGGATCTGGTTGGTCTTGGTGGGACCTTCAATAGCCTAGAAGCAATTAGCAACCGTCATGGAGATTCGGAGTATGCGACTTACACGTTGCTTGAATCCCAGCCAGCTTCCCGCAACACTTAGCGGCACGCTAATCACGAACCAGATCAGGACCAGGGCAAGCATAGTGCCAAATGGCACGGCACCACTCGATCCCTTGGCCCAAACGAACAGGTTCAGAAGGAAGAACACGCCAAAGATGAGCGCGGGAACCAGCACTGGGGTCATGATAATGTTGCGTTTCCAGGCATCACCGCCCAGCGATTTGTAGACTCGGGCCGATACGTAGCCGCCAATGAAGCCGAAAAGCGTATAGATCAGAAGGATTGCAGTGGCCAGGAAGCCACGGTTCGCGGGGGAGAGCAGACCAAAGAGTGCGAAAACTATAGCCATTAGCAAGAGGACTGTCTGATATGCAAAGGATTAACCTACCGACAGTCACGCCCGTCATCATGAACAGCTGAGCTCCATTACCGACAAGCACACTCAGAAGCAGCGGGGACTTGGGGCACCGGAACACGTCTCCGTGCACCAACTTCCATCCGGAATCCTCCTGGATACCGTCTTCCACCGCCGCGGACGTGCTGTCGAAGTCGTCTAGGTTGATCATATCCAGACGGTTGTACCGGGCAATGTCCTTCTTCAGAGCCCTAACCAAGATCATGCTCACCATCGCGACCAGGAAGACCACGAACACAGCCGAGTTGATCAAGGAGAACCAGTGAATCTTCGGGTCGTAGACATGAAGATATTTATCCCAACGAGTGGCCCATGCGGTGGGCGACTCACGCCAGTACACACTGTAAGTCCATGTAACCGCAGTCTCGCCCTCCTCGTTCAAGGTGATGCCGACACCGTCGCCATCGCACTGGGCGGTACCATCCTCCGAGACCATGGAGTTGCGCCGGGACTCCGGCTGCACGAGCACGCCAACAACACGGTACTTGTCCTGGTTTCCATAGCCGACACGGTGATACTCGATGAGGATTTCGAAGTGGTTGTTCAAGACCGGTTGTCCCTCGTCGTTGATCGATCCCAGAGCGAACCCGGGGCTGTAAAACTTGGTCTGCGTCACGGCCTCCATGTTAATCTGCGCCCCAGGAAGCCCATCTACCAGCCAGTTGATGTTGTATCCTTGTTGAATTCGGCGGTTGACGAACTTGGCGCTGCGGGCATCAAACGAGGCCGGGCCGCAGACAGCCTTGCAGGTCTCGTTCTTGCCCATGTGCAGCTCGAACGGCGACGTCTGGATGCGGTCTCCAAACAGGATGCTTCCCAGCGACTCTCGAACATCCTTGGGACCTTCTTGGGGAGCACAGAAATGGAAGGCCGGGTGGTAGTAGTCATAGGAGAAGACGGAATGGAGCTGTTCATCCTGCTGCGCTAGGCCGGGCGTAAGATGGTTGACATAGAGTGGTACCGATTGACCTTCATCGTAGGATGTAGGCGCAACTCCGGGAAGATAGAAAGCGGCGGATAATGAAGGGGCAGTGAGGAGGAGGGCGGCGATGGGCGAGGATCGTTTGTTGAACCACATGGTGGGTATCTCTATTCCAGCGCGGTATTAGTTAGTTCTGGTCGGTCGCTGGCGGATGTCCCTGGGGTTCGGCTGGACCCAAGCTTCAAGTGGCATACATACAGGCTACAGTTTCCACGCCACAAGCGATTTTCAAGCTCGCATGGGTTGGGGGTGGTCCGGGTAGTAACCACCTACTTGAGATGGAGACCAGGAATTCTTAACGAGGAATTGAACCGAAACCGGGCTCTTCGCTGAGAGAAGAACGCCTTGCCCGGATGCATTGAGGCCAGCTCGCGCACTTGGGCGCACGTGAACTTCGTATGTCTGACTAAGCTGATGCCTATCGACACGTGCCGATAAGCGGTCTCTAAAAATTTCCCTCTCGATCTCGGCGACGGACAACTCAACAGACAGTCAGAGACAGCACAGCACACAATGGCGGCGGCCGTATCCCAGTCAGAGCCTTCTGGCTCGCAGAATATCTCAGCCCTGCTTGAGACCCTCACCACGTGTCTCAACAGCACCGGATCATCGCTCCCCAAGACCAAGCGGGATGCGCCCTCAGATGTCTCGATCGAACCGCCGCAAGATGGCATCTCGCTACTTGACACCAAGTCCGATCTTCTCCTCTCCTACATGCAGAACCTCGTATTCTTGGTGATATTCCAGCTGAGGGGTCTCAAGTCATCTGTCGACAAGGACGCCGAAAAGAACGACTCGCTCCCGGACGATATTGTGAAGAAACTTGTTGAACTACGTGTCTATCTGGATCGCGGTGTCCGGCCTTTGGAAGGACGGCTGAAATACCAGGTCGACAAGGTGATCAAGGCTGCAGAGGATGCGGAGCGGGCTGAGCGCGGAGCCACGGCCCCCAAGAAGAGCAAGAAGGCTAAGAAATCCGCTCGCGACGAGGAGTCTGGCTCCGACGAAGGTAGCAGCGACAGCGAGGGAGACAGTGATGAGGACGAGGAGGATGAGGATGAGGAGGAGGATATAGATGAGATGGCATTCCGGCCTAACGTATCTGCCTTCTCCAAGAAGTTCGAGCCTGAGGCCAAGCAGGATAAGGCGGCCGCGAGAGCTACAAGCGACGGCATCTACCGACCACCTCGCATCATGCCCACAGCCCTACCGACTACCGAAACCCGGGAGCGCAGGGAGCGCCCGCAACGCCGGTCCAATGTCATCGATGAGTTCGTCAGCGCCGAGATGTCATCCGCACCTATGGCCGAGCCCAGCATCGGAAGTACGATCGTACGCGGTGGACGACAGACGAAGTCTAAGAAGGATCGCGAGCGTGAGGCTGAGCGGACGAGATATGAAGAAACCAACTTCGTGCGTCTGGCGAAGGAGAGCAAGAAGGATCGGGCCAAACGTCTGCGTGCCGAGGGCCCGCGGGGAACCTTTGGTGGAGAGGAATGGCGTGGTCTTACCGAGGGAGCAGACCGGATCACGAAGCTCACCCGGAGAGCCCAGGGAAGCGGCTCAGCGTTGGATCGGAGTCGGAAGCGCAAGAACGAAGATGGACAGCGCGACGATGGGATGGGAGTGGGACAGATCTTCGAGAAGCGGCGCAAGAAGGTGGACAGCTGGAAGCGGTGATCGACTTGTATACATACTTTTCTCACTTTTACGATGCATCATTGATATTCCTTTTTTCTCAGCGCTCTATACACACTGGATTGTTTGGACGTGAGCAACCTGGGCTGATCAGTGAGCATAAAGTAGCCCTACTGCACTGGATGCTCTGATAGCCAGAGTGATTTGCGATACCAGAAAAGTTAATTTCACTACCACATTTATTTGCAGTGATGCAATTACCCATCTATTGTAGGATAAGAACCTTACCAACAGGCACCAGGCACATTTCGCTGGTTGGCCGATCTTGAAACCAGAAAAGCAACCCGTCGCATCCGGCCTTTGCGACGCCCGCATCCATGACATCATCCCAACTCAACTAAATAACTATTCCCAGCTTTCCCCTCCAAATCCCTTCATGTGCCTTTATCTACTGTAAATATTCTATGACAACTGTCTATCAATTCTATCAATTCCATCAACCCATTCCTCCGAACCATCTCCGCCAAGAACAGTCACAAAATGGAAGACCCAGGTGCGTCCGTATCTCCCATCCACATGGCCCCGTCCCCGTACCACCTCACCACCACCCAGTGAAACTAATCTAGATAAATATCACAGCATCTGAAATCACACCTATAATCCACCACCTCACGCAAGCACCCCCAGATGACCAACAACGCACAATCCAGAAATACTTCACTCCCAGCGCAGCCTTCATTCATCCCTTTTGTCGCGTCTGGCCCTATCCCGGGAGTCGCTGGTTCATCGAGAGGATCTACCAATGGTACAAGATCATGTCGCCGCGAATTGAGCTGGAGGTGCATTCCGTAGGTGGGTGTTCATATCTTATCATCCCTAACCCCTCTTATTAACGAGTAGCTAACAATTCGAATTCGACATAGCATATGACAAACCCAACCAAAAGCTCTACCTCCAAATGTCCCAGCTTTTCTCCATCTGGGCCATTCCCTTCCACCACGCCCATGTACATCTGACCACAGTCTTGGATCTCACTACGGACAGCGAAGATAACCGCACGCCACGGACAGGGTCCGGCAAACGGTACTACATCAAGCAGCAGGAGGACTTTTACCAGACGTCGGAGTTTGTCAAGTTTGTAGCGCCGTGGGGAGGCGGCCTGCTGGTTACTATTTGGCAGTTGCTGGCGACAGTGTTTTGTGTGTTTGGGGTGGTGCTGCTCTGGCCTGTGTTGTGGTTGGAGGAGAGGCGGTTGGTGGGTAATGGGAAGAAATGAGATGATATGTGTGTGAGGTGGTAGGTAGGGTTGTATGGAGTGGTGGTGTATATACCCGGTTCTATAATCCCTGCAAATGGTCTTTAGAGTGGGATACGCAGGGAATTGACTGGTGGTAGTCGTTCTTCGCTTTTCATAGGTTGTTAGGAATTCAATCTGCTGGACAGAATATCTTGGGTTTGCATTTATAGCTGACTCGGTGCCACTGACTGTACCGCTCCCCGAGAAGCATGACAAGACGCTCTAGCCTACTACCGGCATCAGGATATAAAGCCAAGACTGCAATCACATATACGTTCCATCTACTGGAGTGTACTTGTTTTCTGTGGCTACATATGCGATACACTATCTAGCCATTCATTCAGAAAACATGCCAGGCATTGATCCAGAGCCCACCATGGATGCCGCAAAATGCCGTCGGTCAATTTCAACCAACTCAAGCGCAATTGAATAAAAAAGAGAATCAATTGCCCCTTCGGTTACCCGTTTTACTTTCTCGTAGCGATAGGACCGGAGAAGGGCAAAAAGATGGTCCCAGAGGGGCTCGAACCCTCGACTTTGACGTTATTAGCGTCACGCTCTAACCAACTGAGCTATGGGACCCAGTTGATATCTACCCGCTCGGCTTTAATGAAAATAAGCCAAAAGTAAAGTATCAGGCTGTGCACAGGCTTTCTACTCAATTGGTTTTAACGATATAGCTGAAATGGTAACTTTACAGCCGGTCCTATTTATAGCGGTATAGGACATTGCGCATGTTATTCGGCAGTCTACTACTTTGCAAATGAGGGATTGTAGTGACCCTAGGAAAAAAAAAACAATGAGATATCAGAGATGTTGCATCACGCCTTATGTCATGGGCCTCTATGCTTGGTGCCTTTCAATCCTGTATATTGTGCGGCTTCATATGTGGGTGGCTGCAGGCTCTGTAGCAAAGTCAAAGTTGGCTAATACTATTTGACTCGTCCTTAGGCCTAAACTTTCTTGGTCTATTCGAGCTGATAAACCTAAGTAGGCAACCATCTTGATCAAATCTGTCCAGTCACCAGCATCAACAACCGGATAATATTTCCGTCAGCGGAGACCGTCTAACAGATGACTAGCGCCATTACACAGACAAAGCTAACAAAAGACCAATAGACCTTGAGCTTAGCCATTGATTACTATGCTCCTCCCATATCCAGTCATCCAGGGGTATTTGGACCAGAAAGTAGGTGAACAGCTCAACAGCCCAACATGCCTCCTTTCATCCTGCCCAAAACATACAATTTGCTCCACTCTTTCATATGCAAAACTCTGCATGGCTCATGTAGTCCCACATCAGCCGACGACACAACAACCGGGTCCCATAGCTCAGTTGGTTAGAGCGTGACGCTAATAACGTCAAAGTCGAGGGTTCGAGCCCCTCTGGGACCATCTTTTTGCAATCTTGCAATGCACATTGCAGCTTGGTTTGGGTAACTGGTCGCAGTGCAATTCTTTTTGTATGGTTGCATTGAATTGGAGTGAGATGCATGGTGTTGCTAACAAGAATGGTGTGTTTCAACGCAACCGGATTTCATTTTGTAAACGCTTGGCATATACGGGTTGATACTATGAATCGAAGTTCATGGCCAATGTTCAAGATTGTTCAAGTTCTCAAATATCATAGTACATAGAGCACGAGTGCGGATAGTTACCGCGTGGTAATATATACAAATGGAGCACGACGACTCTAGTATGCCCGGGTTGGTACGACAGTTAGCAAAGCACCCAGTCATTACACTCCTCATAGGATCCCAACACTGCTTCCGAATGAAAGATGATCATTTGAAATCAAAATTTAGACGATGTGACAATGTGAATGAGTAAGACATCGATCCATCGTAGTATAATGAGACCAAGAAAGGAGATCGAAAAGCAATCTTTCGAGCCACCTGTGCGTCACGCAAACCTGAACATATGTAATTAGAAGGCACACAAATTCGTTGGTTCATCTTAATCAAGCGAAGGAGCTATACAATTCCCGGATTAACCCCGAAAACTACTGGTAGACCAGGTGAAATAGCAGTTCGTAGTGACTCAGGTTGTCGCCATGGTTATCCCGAAAGTATGTTAGGCATGTCGGAAATCCCATGCTCAGCTAGCTAGTCCTCGGTCACGGTGGACAGGGGACAGATACTATGCGGCGTCCAGCCCTGGGATAGTGTCATAAGGGGGTATATGATCAAACAGAAGTGCAGCGGTAGAGGTATACTATAGACATCATACCTATCAGCTCGGGTCAAAGCTATGGATATCCGCCCTCTTTTTGGGAGGCGGAAAAGTACAATGCTACCTACAACAGAGCTAGGGACTGCTAGACAACCCATGGAATAATGGATTTCTTCGGACAAAATCCGAGAACCACCCATACATAGACCTTATATGTGTCCCATCTCACCCAAAAGTATCATCGTCATCTACCCCACCCAATGGCCATAGACGTCAGCATATGCAGGTTTAGGCCGACGGAGTTGCCGTTGAACTTCTTTTTATTTTTCTTGTCCTACAGATTTTTCGCTCACAAAGAAGAGTCAACACTCCATGCTCTGTCGAAGCAAATCACTACCGTCCCTGCACTCGTAACTATCCAGCAACTACTACGGATTTTCCTAGAAGTTTTAATTTCTGGTTCATAGAGCAACGAATTTCTGCAACATGTAACAACTGGTCCCATAGCTCAGTTGGTTAGAGCGTGACGCTAATAACGTCAAAGTCGAGGGTTCGAGCCCCTCTGGGACCATTTCTTTTTGCTTTTTACCAGCCCACATTTGCGGTGTGTTCCGTGTTTTATATTCGGACTATCTTAATCTCCGCTGGGCGCAGATGCTTGCGTGTTCGATGTCTATCATGTCATATGCTTTTTTTATGCCCAAGGGTCCATGTTTATGCTTGGAGGCAGCCAGGGGACACCCGCTTGAGCAGACATGGAAGAGATTAGGATCATCCGACAAGGACCTGCCAAATCCGGCGTGTTGCCTAAATTAAGCCGAGCAGGTGGACCAGCACATGTGATTTCCCAGAGCAGCCGGACAGGGATGATGGCGGTGCTAAATCGTGGACGTTTTCCAACAGGGCTTAGACAGGTGGGTTTACGCCAATCACACGCCAATAAACTGACATCACGCCGGTCAGGGTCTGGCTTTTAGTGTGGCTGGTGCTGCACTGCTGCCCCGCTCGGACTGTCCAATTATAACCAATGGTGGCCGACAATCCCGTTGTCGTCATCCGTGGACCGGCCATCCACAGCCCTGGAAAGCATCCAGGAAATGGCCGTCCCTATCCACTGATCGGCTGGCTGCGACGCCTGCATGGCTATTTTGCTGCCTTCGCTCCAACAAACTCTGTCTTGTCTCCCTCCGCTTTTATATCACGGGAGACCCTGCCCTAAGCCTTACAGTTTTTCACCAATCTTCTGGTGTAAAACCCCAGTGAATCCATCTGCCTGATCCGCCTACACCAAACCCTATACATCCTGGGTCCCAGATCCTACTATACCAATTAGTCCGCTTTTATATACCGAGCCTATTGGATTAAACTGCCCCAATATGGGCTTCGGCGGCGTTCTCTTGCGCGCTTCCAACCTCTCCATCCGTGTTCTCCAGTTCCTCGCCGCAGCTGTCATCCTCGGCATCTTTTCCTACTTTCTTGCCGTCCTTTCTCGACATGATCAGGATATCCCGCGTTGGATGAAAGCCGTCGAGGGTCTATCCGGCGCTGCGACCCTCTATGGCATCCTCGGTATCCTTTTCACTTGCTGCCTCGGCGGCGTTGCCTTCTTCGCCTTCCTCGCCATCGTCCTCGATGTCTGCTTCATCGGTGCCATGATCGCCATTGCTATCATGACCCGTCATGGCACGCAAAGCTGCTCTGGTCTCGTGACCACCCCTCTTGGGTCTGGTAATAGCAGCGATGACTCACCGTCAGGGACAAGTTATGGCTATGCCTGCGAATTGGAGAAAGCTGCCTTTGCGGTGTCAATCATTGGGATGTAAGTTCCTTCCTCCACCTAACCGATCCCTTCTCTCTTGGCCAATGTCAGGGGATAATCGATGTAAAACTTGATGTGATGCTAATAATATCGCGCGCAGCGTCCTCTTCTTGATTTCAATCCTCCTTCAAGTCCTCTACGCTCGATACCACAAGCGCGAGAAGCGCTTTGGCCCCTCCCCCGCAAATGGCTACACCTCCGGCACTACCCGGGGCTTCGCCTTCTGGAGGAGAAACAAGAACAACCCCGATACTGCTAGTGCCGATGATATGCTGCCTTCGCATCCATTGCCCAGGGATGTGGAGCTTGGTGCGAACGGCACAACGGCAGCAGAGAAGGAAGGTGGCTTGAATGGTACCAATGTCGGCGCTACCACTGCCAGTGGTGGATATATGCCATGGAGAAGCAATGTGAATAACGGTACTGCAACTGCGGGGCAGACCGGGACTTACGGCTATGGAAATTCGGCATATACGGGAAATTATTAAGGGGTAAGATGCAAGGGGTGCTAGGAGGTACGTGGTATGTACAGACATACCAGGAATGACACAGAGGGGTGTGATGACCTCCCCCAATGTGGCAGTCGCTGGGAATGTGATGATTAATGAAATGACTCGACTAAAAGATACCATGGTTTTTTGGTTTTCTGGATGGGATGGTTCAATATTGCAAAGTACATACTGTTTTGCTTCATTTGTTTGAAAATACTACACAACAATTGGTTATAGCTGCGGGTACTGAATCTCTTACACTTGACAATAATTGTAATAGTCGTTTCATTTGTACCATGTATACTAAGACTTTATGAAAACATGTGTGATTATTCTACATGTACTTCTGAGTAGAAATCTGCTTTTCCTCACCTGTCAAATGACTCTCACCGACCCAGACCCTGACTCAGTTGACGGCCTCAAGGCACAGGCAGAACAAGATCCTGACTAAGAGTGGTTGAGACCGAGACTAACCCGTTTAAGAGCGCGCGACTGCAGGAACCAGCGCCGAAGCGGGACTAGCGCCGATCGCGTTTGGCCATCGGGGCTCTCGCTCTTCCTCTTGCATCATCTCGACGCCTTCATCTGTCCATACGAACATCCCTTCCTACCCTGCACTCAGGAGGATGATGCATCGTGATCACTGTGTCTAGCTTTCGCTTTGTTCCCTGATAGTACAAGCCTGAAACCTTCTACTGGATGTCTTTGTGGACCTTGCTGCCCAGGCAGAGGTTCCATCACGCTCTCCTTCCAGTCCAATATGTCAGCTACTACCATGGCCCCCCGAATTCTGGCTCCCAGCTCGGCCAGGTTCGCCACCCAATTTTCATGCGAATGATCTCTAAGCTCGCAGTGGCAACCCAACTCAATTTTGCTGCGCCAATCCACATCCCCTGTGCTTCTTTAGCTACTGTGTCTCGCAGACATATATCCAGTCGTGCTATCACACATCCCTGTCGATCGTCTAGGCCCGTGACGGCATCTGCTCAAACCTTCGTTTCCCCAAGGTTACTTCCAGCAGTTTCACGCGCTGCCTCCAACGACACTCTGGCCACAATGGCAACTGATGAAGTCATGCAAAATGGGGTAGATGGTAGCCCCGATAATGAGGTACAAGATGCCGATCTTAAGGGTACTGAGGGTGCCAGTGAACTAGGAAAAGGTTCACCCATGGATCCAGAGTCAGACGAAGACGTACCAGTTGAGGCAGAGGAGCTTCAGGACGCTCTCACGCGGGCCCCTCCGGTCAACAGCAGCTACCTACCCCTCCCTTGGAAGGGAAGACTAGGCTATGTAAGTTTGCAACATCATTGTCCGAAACGAATTCTTATGTTGCATAGGCATGTCTGAATACGTATCTACGATACTCGACCCCGCCCGTTTTCTGCTCCCGGACCTGCCGCATTGCCTCAATCTTGGAAAACAGACATCCACTCTCGGATCCTACGCAGCCCGCTCATCCGACCAAGAATCGTCCTGATCGGGATCAGCCCGCTGATGTCGCGCGCGGTCAGGCGTATGTTGAGGCTCTAGGCCTCACAAATGCTCGCGATCTTGTCAAAATGCTGCGCTGGAATGATCGCTACGGAATCAAGTTCATGCGATTGAGCAGCGAGATGTTTCCATTTGCGAGCCACAAGGAGTACGGCTACAAGCTGGCCCCCTTTGCCTCTGAAGTATTGGCAGAAGCTGGTCGTGTTGTTGCCGAGCTCGGCCATCGCGTGAGCGTGCATCCCGGCCAATTCACGCAACTTGGTTCTCCCAAAGACGAAGTGGTGGAAAGCTCTATCCGAGATCTAGAGTATCACTCGGAGATGCTCCAGCTGCTTAAACTGCCGCCTCAACAGGATAGGGATGCTGTCATGATACTCCATATGGGCGGCGTCTTCGGCGACAAAGAAGCCACTCTTGACCGGTTTAGAGAGAATTATAAAGGTCTATCGCAGGACATCAAAAATCGGCTTGTCTTGGAGAACGATGATGTCAGCTGGTCGGTTCACGACCTCCTTCCCATCTGTGAAGAACTGAACATACCCCTTGTACTCGACTTCCACCACCACAATATCATCTTTGATTCGAGCCAGCTTCGCGAGGGGACGCTAGACATCATGTCCTTATTTGATCGAATCAAGGCAACATGGACCCGGAAGGGCATCACGCAGAAGATGCACTATTCCGAGCCAGAGCCGTCTGCAATTACGAACCGCCAGCGTCGAAAGCATAGCCCCCGGGTTTCCACTCTTCCGCCCTGCGATCCTACCATGGATCTGATGATTGAGGCTAAGGATAAGGAGCAGGCTGTTTTCGAACTGATGCGGACATTCAAGCTGCCGGGTCACGAACTGGTCAATGATATTATACCTCACGTTCGTAATGACGAAAACAGGCCACATAAGCCGCCGAGAAAAACCAAGAAGAACGGAGGCTTTGTCGATCTGGAGGGACTTGTTCCACCTCCTCGGACTGTCCCGGAAGAAGAAGTGGGTATGGGTGGTCCAGAAGGGCGGGTCTACTGGCCGCCTGGCATGGAGGAATGGCTTCGACCGAAAAAGATCGTTCGCACCAAAGCTATCCAAAGTCCTCGCCGCACTCCTTCCACGAAGAAAGTAGCGGTCGAGAATGGCGATTCTGTGCCACAGGAAGATGAGCCGATTGGAAGCGCTCCAGCTACGCCGGTTTCGAAGAAGAGGACAACCAATGCGAAGAAGCAGGTCTCCAGGAAACGGAAAGCTTCTCCGGAGCCCACTCCGTCAGCTTCAGATGAAGAAGCACCCGAAGTTCCAGAGAGACCGGCTCTCAAGCGATCCCAGAGCAGTGGTGTTCGTCGAAGCCGACGAGCAAAGAAGGTGGACTACACCGAAGATGTAGATTCGGTCTGATTAAAGAAGGTACCAGCTCTTGGCTATAACTACGCATTGCTGCGGGCACCTTGGTCAATGCTCGCTGGCGACTGGCCTTCCTATTTCAGCTCTACCTTCTGAGCCAAGGCATGCAATAGCAGAGAACTCCGACTGCATCGGGTAGACCCTGTTTTGGGACTTTCATGCGACGATTTCGTGCATGATTGATCGGCTTTGACAGCCGTCAACATGTTATCCTATGTCTCTGTCCATAGACTACTTGTACACGTTTGGGTATGTAGATAGATGGGGTTGTAAACACAGCATGTTGGCTGGAAGTGCCTATTACATGCATGCGTAACATAACGCGAGCTGCATATATATAATAGCCGAGTTGAAGGGAAATATGATATAATGTTCCTCGCAGATGCATCATGAAGGTCATCATTACGGACTATGACCCTGGCTAAACAGGGGCACTACCTAAACAAACGATGACAAAAATCCAACACAACACCTTTTCTTTCCCTGCACGATGGATGTATGGCGTATATAGGGTAAAACAATCCATACACTGAGTGCCGAGAAAGAGGAGAAAAAGCAAAAAAGATGGTCCCAGAGGGGCTCGAACCCTCGACTTTGACGTTATTAGCGTCACGCTCTAACCAACTGAGCTATGGGACCCGGTTGATGTAAGCTGCCGGGTTTTAGTGCTACATAGAGACTAGTGAGCACTGACAGCAGAATTAATTCGGTGCTTGTCGATCATCGATCATTATTTAAGTATTCGATTTCGTGGTTTGTCAGATAACTTAACGATGTTTTTCTTTGCTTGAGCGATGTCTATTCTACTTCATGGCTCAGATTGCTTAGTGACACCTTTAGGTCTAGGGTGGAATGAACATATTCCCACCAGTACCTTTGATGCATTGCACCGTCAATTGCTATACTAGTCAATGGGTGCAGCTGTAATCACACCATACTAGTAGAAGCAGCAGTATTAGCACTTAACCATCAAGCCTATTACCAGTAGTAACCAGCGAGCTGCCGCGGCTCAAAGCTAATATTACCTCGAACCGAAAGTCATCCTACTCGACGTGATCCAAAAGAGAACCAACCATTCGAGCACACTTCGCGAGGCCTGTTTTCGATAGGAAAGACGTATCATACGGGCCTATGCAATTATATGTCGAGATCAGCTGATCTGATCACCAATGTACAAGAAGAAAAAGAAGTATTAAATGTACATAGACTGGTGTTTAACATCACAGTTCTGAATTTAGGTTATGAAAGTGGATGCTCGAAAAGATGAGTCCAGACCTCAATGGTTTCTTTAAGATGATTATGCCGCAGGGGATGGAGATAGGATACTAGTAGTGGTATGCAGTAGAACGACTGTTCTGTTGTAGAAGTAGATCGAATCTGTATCTTATAAGGTATGTATTCATTTCGCCGAACTACCTATGTTACCTTTATGTAGGTTCTATGTTGCTTTGCGCGTCGTGGATTATATATATGGGATTTAATTTCTTCTCTAGACCATGATAGCGCTCCAGATAGTGAGATATCTCAGCATAAAGAACTAAAGTAGCAGGTTCAACTAGACCAATGAATATGAACATATATATCCATCCAAGTAACGTGGAAGATCAAAATGGTAATGAGCCTGTATAGGTCGAGCTGAACCGTCATAGGCTCTTCCAACCATCAATATCCCCCCCATTGTTTCCGTTCCAGTGATTCCAGAAATTTTACCATCAGTAGCGGGAGATGTCAACGTATCAAAACTTGACCAATACCCAGCCAAGTTCCGTAGAATTCCTTCTGGTACTGAACAGGAGATGTATGTAGCGACATTCCCTTAACATGCCATATCACTACCTTGAGGATTTATGGGGAACTGATGGGGAAAGTCCCGGAGAGAGGGGACAGGGTCTAATACCTAAAGAAAGAGCAGCTGAGAATCAGGTGGGCTCTTCGTAACTCCTACTACAAATCCTCTCGTGACCAATTTCTTAGGTTGCTCGAGGCTAACAGAACTAATAGTATAAGGCTTACGACAAAGCGAACACGAAACGGCTAGAAGTTAGCTACGATCACACCATTTGATGCTAGCAAAAGGCAAGTAGTATCATCAGGAATCAGGTCAATGATAAGGCAGACCTGGCTTTGTTTCGGTCCAATCAGCCGAGCATGTAGTATAGTAATCAAGGTAGTAAGCAGCGGCGCATACATAGGCTCTGATGCATATTAGGCTTTTTAATGGTATGACTGATTTCAGCCTCAAGCACATGGCGTAGTCGCTCCATCTGCAGGCAGATCTGACACATGTGCTTGATACCGTATACAGCCGAGGTAATTCAACGATGCTAGGCCCTGACAAGGCAGGACAGGGTACAAAGCACGAGCTCTAACCATGGGGGCCACGTGGAAAAGCTAGGAAGAAGGTGAGATCGAGGAACGAATGCGAAGAACGTGTGGGGGCCGCCGGGGGGATCTGTCAGCCCTAACTTCCTAGTTCGGCATCTTGCGCTTAGCCACGCCGCCAGCAGTCTATCGCGCCACCTTTCCGCCCCAAATTGAAACAATTTGGCCCCAATCGGGTAAGCAGTGCCCCAGGGAACTAGTGACCTCGTCAGTTGCTAGGGAGATTCAGAGCTCGTTAGCGAGTGGCGAAGGTGACTAACGGCCAGTCCGGCTTCGTTTTCCGATTTGTCTCTGTAGGTTCAATCCAGGCCAAGCGGCCATCTTAGTGGTGTGATCGTCTAGCTGCGCAGAGAAGAAGATTTTTCATATGCAGGTCGGAGGGGCTCGCAAAGTCTGACGGCACCAGTACTACCATATATGGTAAAAGCTCCATTAGACGAAAGGCGCAGCTTTCCGGTAGCCTATGCCGAAAGCAGATACAGATGATGATGGTTCCTCTTGCTTGACCAATGACTATTAAGAAAGAAATAGCACGGGTTCGACCATATAGGTAGATGGTGGCGGTGGAGAGAACCGTGCGCACAAGGTGAGGACATCCAGCGTCCAAAAGTTCATGAGCCGACTTCCTGATTGTAGAGCTACCGCGAGGAGGCAAAGCACACGAAAGCAATTTTTAATGCCGGGGGGTCATTTCGTGTAGCAGTGTGGATACTTTTGAGTGTTCCCCAGTCCAAAAGTTCGGCTTGCCCGGTCGCATATGCCAGCTTACCCTCGTTCAAAGGAATAGAGTGGTTGGTGGGGGCCAAGTGTTGTGCATCTTCCAACAAAGCAATGGGATCGTGGAGTTATGTCCTAGGATGAGGCTCCTTCCATCAACGGCAGTGAGTTGCACCTACTGTTAGCTCCTGAAACCCCGAAGTTTAGAGTGCAACTTGTGTGACCGTGTGTTCTTGTCGATCGTCGGATAGTAACCAGTCTCTGGGCTATAGGTCTCTAGTGCTGGTGGAATGGACTTCTAGAAGAAATGCTAGAATGAGTTAGCCATATTTATCGGCCAATAAAATCTTTCTTCATCTGCCAACCCTGCAAAGGTTGAAGCATCAACACGTTTGCTCTGATGCGGAGATGAACCGCATAACATCACACAAAGAGCGGAAAGGTCATACTAGGTTGTAAGAGAATTCGAAAAGGGTTTGAAACACACTGCTGATGTCCTAGCGACCATGCAGGCCGATGTCGACCCCAAGATCTTGCATATGCAAAACGCGGGGAAGCAGGGAGCCAACGACATCTGTATGTTAGTCTTATATGGGTGGAAGACAGGCGCATCAGAGATGGCTGTGCAGACTGAGGGATTATAGGCTATTGAGCCAGCTGCTGATGAGGTTCTCTCAGCGTGAATAGGATTTACATGTTGCACTCCATATTCAGAACACAATTGTAACGGATTGATGCTCGGTAGACCCAGGGAGGTGTTTGGTGGAAGCCAGCCATTCGAGACCCAGAGGTTTTTGGCAGCGTATAGGAGTGTGCACGAGCCGACATTTAACCCGCGTGACTTCCACTGTGGTATCAGGAAGAGGGAAACACCAAGTGTGGGATCCACTGGGCGGAGATTGCAGGGCTGGGATACAAACTCTACACTGACTCGAGGCATAGCAGGTGGGAACATGAAGCTCATCCATACCCAACTAGCTGTAGAGCTTAAAGCTACTTTAAAGCTTCTAGAGTATTCCCACCTGGCATGACCGTGCACTGTTTCACGATCGTGTCAAGTAGCAAGATGATAGAATGGATAGAATTTAGGGTATGACAACTCGACACGAGGCATTGTGACTTCCTGATTGGCCTCGAGAGCTGCAATCACGTGGAAGCCACGTGGACTCGGTCGCAACTCGAAAAGGAGGAAAACAAAGGCAATATTCTCATCTCAGAAGTCTCCTTTGCATCTCCAAGCTTTATGAATGTCATTTACCACGCACTCAGGCGTTGGAGGGATCTGAGCGACCGTGATCCACGATGTCCCCGAATTCCCCGATCGCCTGTTTAGGTAGATCCCGAGTCCCGGGAGAAGCTGCTCCTCAATCAATCACAATCACTCCATGACCAAAGCGTCTCCCATCTCCGGCCCTGGATCGACGGACGCGTCGGCACTTCTTTTGCTTGGAGGTGTCTGGTACAATTGTCCAATGAATTCCAGTCGCAATATCTGGCACCCCCGAAAACCCTTCCAAATAGGGGCTAGACGCCGTTCCCACTTTTCTGGCAACTGGTCCAGGTTCGGACTACAAAGTACGAACCTGCCAACGACCAGCTCCGTTAGGGAGTTCCTCCGTGGTGAGTGACCCCTGCTACCTTAATTTTCTTTTATTATGCTTATTAAAACTTCTCCTTAGCTGCCTAATTGCCAGCGGCCGCAGTGGAAACAAAAAATCATAATATCAGGCCACCGCTTAGGCCACGTGCGGACGATGGAGCTTCGCTGATAAGCCCTGCACGGTTGGGGCCAAGATGAAATCCTCGAATGCTGACGCTCAGATCGATTTGCTTCTGTTGGCTTCACTGATGCATGAGACAACTTCAAAGCCTCGCATCTGCGCCATAAGGACTGAACCTTGTCCCCGTTTCTCCGTCATGCGAACCCCCGATGGTCGGGGCGCAGTCCATCGAAACAGCTAATATCCGACAACGACTTAGCGCGGTTCAAAAAATTAGCTTGATTAAACCAAATTGCGCCTCGATTGCAAGGCACTCAAGGTCTGACAGGCCGGGTGGAGATGGCCGCCAATGCGCCCCCACTTACCCTCAAGCGTGGCCGGGAGAAACCCGGTGATCCTGTTTGCGACGCTAGCTAGTCACTGTAGCCGTGCTGAATTCTAGAATCCACGCCGTGCTGATGGAAGGATGGAAACCAGCCCCCAGAGTCATGGTTGGATTACATCACTAGCCAGCGTTAGGGTCTACAGCCACGATCCTCGCATTGGCTGTTCACATTTTTCATTAACTGCCCGCTCCTGGCCCCTAAATCATGGATAGATGAAAAACCCGATGGGCCCCGGAGCCAGTTCGTCGTCTGTTATAGGAATTGTTTCTCCCACGATGCCCCTGCGTGTACCAAATTTTCTGTAAAGCCACAGATATGTCCAGTCCCTTTGGTGAGCCGCCTAAGGGCCTCAATCTCGAGGAGGACAGCACGGGGAGAAATGACGCTGTCGTCGTCTGCATGTATGCCCTGGCCTTTGTGACCATTGGCTTTCGGTTATTTTCCCGGATAAAGGTCCAGCAGGCCAGCATAGGGCTCGATGACTGGCTGATAGTAGGCGCACTGGTATGTTGTACTCTTCCCTGTGAGAACTACTGTTCTAATTATACTACAGTTATCAGGTACAGCCAACATGGCCTGTGCAATAGCCGGTATGCAATCAACCACCCTACCCAATCATTTAACATGCTAACCTTCTTTTTAGGAGGACACTATGGCCTTGGTAAACATGTTTGGGTTGTCACTCTAGATGAAATAATCAACATGGTGCATGTAAGATACCCTTGGTAGCCTTCTCTCGAGGAATGTTAAACTCACATCAATGCTTTAGATACTATACGCCAACGTGCTCCTTTATATCCTCACCGTTCCCCTCATCAAAGTCTCGATCATACTCTCATATCGCCGACTCTTTGGTATGCAGTGGACCATGTGGGCTTGCATCGCCCTGTCCATCGCCTACTGGATAGGCTGCTCAGTCGCCTTTCTATGCTCCTGCCAACCAGTCTCATATTTCTGGACACAATACGAAAACCCCCTCGGCGGCTACGTCCGTTATGATATTTACCCATTCTATATTGCGCATGCCGTCGCCAACATGGCCGGCGACCTTCTCATCCTTCTCGTTCCGATTCCACTAGTCTGGCGTTTGAAGTTACGAGTGGGACAGAAGATCCAAATTCTAAGCATCTTCCTTCTCGGTGGCTTGTAAGTCAACTACAACCCATCCCCGCCCTTCCCCCAATTAACCCCAACTAATAAATAACCAACAACAGTGTCTGTGTCGCCAGCGCCATCCGCATCTACTACTTCACCTTCATCAACGACGTCGACGTGACCTGGAACCTGGGCAACGTTTTCATTTGGTCCAGTGTTGAACCATCCATCGGAATCGTCTGTGCCTGCCTCCCCGTCCTCCAACCCCTTTTCCGAACAATCATCAACCGCCGGAGCATGCCAAACCGACCCACCACAAAAGGCGTCCGCTTCGCACCTGATATCATGAGCAAGATCCACGGCGACGATCGGAAACAGACACGAGAAGATGAAGCCGTTTTAACAACAACGTCAGTACATATCGAAATGGACGGTGTAGGCAAGGGGAGAATCAGCGATGAAGAAGAAGCTATGGGGTACGATATAATGTCTATCAAGGTGCAGAAAGATTTCCAAATGGAGGAAGAGCATCGTCGATAACTTTTTTTATGGTGTTATGTTGCGGGTGTTTATCGGGCATCTTTTATTTTTTTGTTTTGATCGATCGTTTAGCGTATAGGTGGGGTTCTTTTCAGGCTTGTACATACATAGACTTACTTACCTCAAGGTACTTACCCCTCCCTCCCTACTGGAGAGATAATAAGATAATCTCCACAAAGACACTATGTTGTGTTGCAGGTTGTAATTATAGTGGAAAGTGGAAAGCTTTATATTGGAATTTTACATTGACTGCTGATACTTGAATTAGGAATTTACTGACTAGTATTTTGAGCTGAGCAGGCTGGAACATGTCATGTGTCTAGGACAAATGCTTTCTCAGTGTTTAAGGTTTCATTGCAAACCTTGGTTGCTGCTTCAGAACCAGTGACAGTTTTCGACTAGTATTTCGAATACTAAAATATTTGGCCAGCATCCAATCTGAGTGAAATGGAAAGGGCTCTTAAGGGATTTTGAAAATTTCGTCAATATGTGAGAATGGGCCGAGGCAGTGGTAGATGTATATAAACCGGTGCGAAGCGGTCACCATTTATATACTATCCACTGTACTTAGTAGTCCACACGCTAAGTAATTTTTGCGATATCAAGCCGACGGATACCATCATAAAGGATGGGTGATATGACGAGATCAATCTTTCCTTCCCTAGTACGACAGCATCATCCACATATGAAGATGAATCTAGTCTAGTCCGTTATAACTGATTTTTTTTTCCCCTCTTACTGGTTTGGCAGAAAACGGTATCATGACTTGAAAATTCAACGGCCTGGATTGATTTTGAAGAACATGAGACAGGCAATGGATATCTGCAAATAGGCCTTGCCTAAGTCATTTCCTATGCCTTCTCGTCGGTAAAACGGAGTCATTTTTCCCACCTTCATTGGCCCTCTCCCACCCGGAAGCGCTGGATCCGGCTAGCTCTTCACTCTCTTCCAGAGACGCACGTACATCTCATGCTGGTAGGCAAACCAAAAGCTCTCAATCCGCCACGGGCGGGTGGTGTCCACCAGTTCGATGTCGAAGGTATGCAACATCAGGGCGATGAACTTCAGCATTTCAACCTGCAGATTGATTGCTTTCGTCAGCGGTGATGCTTCCTTCTAGAACAGCACGAAGGGGAAAGGGCACATAGCAAAGCAAAAAGAAGAGAGAGAGAGAGAGAGAGAGAGAGAGGGAGAGAGGAAAATATAACCCTTACCAAGGCAATATTACGCCCAATGCACATGCGGGGCCCATTCCCACCAAAGGTCATCGTGACCGACTCAAAGTAGCGGGCGCGGATGGGGTCCTCGAGCCATCGCTCCGGGCGAAAGCAATCGGCGTCTTCGCCCCAAACGGCGCGATCGCGGTTCTGGGCCCGCGGGCTGATGCCAACCGCCGTGCCAGCAGGGATCGCGTGACCTGCCACTGTCATTCCCCCCGGGGAGGGGGCCCGTCGGAGCAGCTGGTAGACAATGCTGGGGTGCAGGCGCGTCGCCTCGGACACCACTGCCTGCAGATACGGCAGCTGTCGGGCCTCGTTGTAGGGGATTCCCTGCTGACCCGGTCGAGCGGCGAAGTACTCGTCGATCTCGGCCTGGAGACGCTTATATACTGCCGGGTGGGTGCACACGTAGTACAGGCAAGCCCGCATACCGATGGAAGTCGTGTCAGCTCCTGCTCCTCTGTATTGGGGTTGTTAGCCATGAGGTAAGGGTGGCTCACGGGGTTCATACATGATATTCATGGCCTCGATGAGCACCTCTCCTTCCGACGCCGGGTTCCCATTGGCATCCTTCATCTGGACGAAGTGATGGAGCATGTCCTTGCGGGTGGACTTCCCCGGGTTGGGTGCGGCGCTCTCCTGCATACGAGCCCGAACGCGGTTAACGCTCCACTGCCGGAAGTGGTGGAAGCTGTTTGGTATGCCCAGCCAGCGCGTAAGTGCAGCGGTCGTTGGGGAGGTCAGGAGCCGGCTCTTGCCGGGGTAGTGGCCCAGATTGGCCATCCAGAAGAAGCCGGTGAGAATGGCCTGGCGGATGCCCATGTCGTCGGAGCCGGTGCGGACGTGCCCTAGCTGGCTGCCGTAGGCGAGCTCGCCGACGATGTCGTAGGCGACGGCATTGGTCCACTCGGCCATGTCGACGGCTTTCCCACTGTCTGCGCGAGCGGCCAGCTGGTCTAGCAGAAGGTCGAAGCAGCCCTGGATATAGGCCTCGAACTCGAGGATAGCGGTCATGGAGAAGGCGCGCGAGACACGCCGGCGGAGGAAGCTGTGCTCGGTCCGATCCCGCGTTGCGAACAGCCCCGAGGCCGTGCCGGGGACGTCCCAGGTCTCGTACCAGTCGGTCTTGACCACCTGTGTGCCATGGCCGTACAGCGCTCGCGCCGCCGCCTCGTCTACGATGGACACCTCGTTGGGCGCGATGCGCACCACCCGCCCGTACCGCGCGTGCAACGCCAGCACCACGTCGTGCCACTGGCCCCGCAGGTAGTACCAGTTGCGCCACATGCCCGTGAACCGTGCGAGAACCGGGCCTGGGACCTTGGCCAGTGGGTGCAAGAACTGGCGGTACAGGACCAAACATACCAGGCCTGCTGCCACAGCTACCAGTGCAAGCCTGGTTGGCGTGTGAAGTTGGCTCGTTCCCGCCATGATGGTGGACGTGGCGCCAACGAATTCGGGCTTACTGCCTGGCAGCCAGGTGAAAAGGTGGCTTACCATGCTGGGGGATTTTACCGTCAAAGTAATAGGTTAAAAGGAAAGCTATGCACAGCACACCGAGGAAAGAGAATAACGGTAACGGGTAGGGCGTATTGGTCCGCTGGGAGGAATCGGGAGCCAAGTTACACATGTTTCCCCCGGATTCTGGGTAGCCATCAGAGCGAGCGCCTTGGGGATTTTGTGGCAGCACACCCCACACTCCGTCGATCACCTTCCCGCTTGTATGTGGGGGATGCGGATGTGGTTGATCCTGGTATTCGTCTGTCTATTTGCTGATTGGACACGTCAACAGGGATCGACTCCAATCCGCACAGGGGGGAGGGGGCGGGTAGATGTGGGGTGAGGTGAATCAAGACTGATCCATCCCAATTATCGGACCTGGCATATCTGCAACCCTCAGTTAGGGAATGTGGTAACGCAAGGACGTGGAGGATCAAGGGAGAGGCGGGAAGGCTGGGCAGGACTTCTTGCAGGGTGAATACATCGACGTCTCCTCATTTGGTATTGCTGATGCACAGGAGCTATGTATATCTAGCAGTGACTCATGTGAACTGGACTGCATACGGGAGATAAACTGTCTATATGGATAGCACTCGGCTGGTTACAAAGCCCCGCCTGACTGGCTTGTGCTCATTGTCGCCTGCGAAGGGCGTTTGGAAAGGACTCCGGGGACCAGAGCAAGTATTGGAATCACAACGAGAGAAAAGAACCACGTGAGATGCTGACTTGCTGAAACTCCAAGCGATATAATATGTACTCAAGTGCAATCCTATCAACAATATATACATCCCACCACCTAGGCGCGATAGTGCTGAGTGAAGTCGTACTGTAGCCGCTCCGCCGCCTTCGCGAGTTTCTCCGTCACAGCCGGATCCGTCTCGGCCGCCTTGCATGCCCGGAGAAAGTCTGAATCCTGGAGTGCTGTCTCTGGGTTCTGCTCGAACAGCAACCGGATATTCCCGCTGGACGTCGGATTCACGATGGTGTTGTACTTGGACCGCCGAACGCTGTCATAGATGTCCAGTATATCTTCATCCGCCTGGCCGGAATAGATGCCGGCGAGACAGTCGAAGAGTCCTCCCACGTCCACGATTCCACACGTGAGACCAAGGCCACCAAAGGGATTACATACTAACCGAAGATTCATTTGTGTCAGGTACGTAGGAGCGGTGCAGGAGGGAGCCAGGAGACAGAGGGAGGGGCACTTACGGTGTGCAGCATCTGCAGCCAGAAGGAAGCGACCGACTCGCATCTTCTTGGCCAATCGCTGGTGCACCTTGTAAGGACTGAAGTTCACGATCTTGTAGTCGCTCGGCTCGGGGTGGCCGGGCAGGAAGGCCTTGAACTTAGCCGGCTGCCGAGCCTGAAGCTCCTCCACGCTGAGTCCACCGACCTCTCCGTAGGTCACGCGCCAGAGGCCATCGTTCGAAATCCGGGCAGCCATGAACCAATGCTCGGGGTCGATGATGAAGTTGGAATCCCAGTCGAACCCATGCTTCTCGAAGGGGTAGTATGTCTGGTGGTGCGGCAATACGGTCAGCGCGGAGACTCATTTTTGGTAGAGGAGGTGGAGGTCAAAATCGCCAGCAACAAGGGGGCCTAAAAACCTACATTGGTTGCAACGATCTGCTTATCCCAAGTGAACCCGGGAAACTCCCAGTCCCTGAACAAAGAGCGGCGAATCTGGCTGTTGGCGCCGTCGCATCCCACGATGTACCGTGCCTCCAGCGTCTTCGCTCCGTCGGGCGTGTCTACGTGCACCCAGGCAGTGGTATCGTCCTGGCCCAGGCCTGTCACCTTGTGCGAGTAGAGGAGCTCCACTTGCGGCAATTTCGCGATATTCCGTTGAAGGACCATGTTCAATTGGTTCAGCGGCAAGCAGGTCAATGGGGTCGGATTCTGATCCGGGTCCGTGGACTGCGGTAACCCGGCCAGAATTTCGCCGTTGAGCTTGCGCCAGCACGCTCCGTTCGGGATGAAAGATCCTTCGGCTTTCATCTCTTCTAGAATTCCCGCGCGACGAAGCTCCTGCACCGCGGCGGGCGCACAGTGGGTGGCTCGGGGACGGTCGTCGAGGGCGTCAGCGGCTTCGAGCAAACGCACGGGGATTCCTTGCTGGCCGAGCATTAAGGCCAAGAGCAGGCCGCTGGGACCAGCGCCCACCACGAGGACAAAAGGGAGCGACATCAGAACGGGACAGGAGGATAGATTTGAGACTATGGGTGTATGAAACGGGCACACAAGAGGTTATAACACCTGGTCAATGGCCCCAAGCCGATCATATATGGCAAAAGGTTCATTGTAGAGGGTGGGGCAAGAGGAAGGTGAGATGGCAATAGTATGAGGCCGGATTAGCGTAGAGGTATGGGGGGCGGGGGGTATTGGGGGGAAGGGGAAACACCCCCCCCACATACATGAACCCCCAAGAGGAGAGCTTCACCTGCACCCGTAACTCCTCATTGCTTACCGCTCGTGCTCCGGTGGTAGCGGGGATTATGAGGGGAGGTCTAGTGGCACAGAACGCATACTTTGGCGTAAAACGCACTCTACACAGAGATCTAGGAGGACAAACTTCCCGCTTCGGCCAGCATACCTGGTGTCTGACCACTTCTTGGCGCCTAAGACCTTCGAGGGTCAAGATGCCATTCCGGTCTCTTGTTCCGAATATATCAGAGTGTCAGCGATGATATGGAGGACTTTACAATATTTCTGAACGTTCCATTGGCCCACTTCTTCAAGTTGAAAGGCCACGTTCATGAAGGACCGCCGGGCTGCCCCGTACGGATTGCGATACTCGGCGCCATGGAAGCTGACAGGCCCGCCGTTCTGGATAAAGTTCACAGCCGCTGAAGAATTGGGATGGGCGGCCGAGGCATCTTCCGGAAGATCGGCCGCGTACAACCCTATCGAGCCAACTTGGGTCCAGTCAACATGGTCGAAGAGGTCAAAGGATGCGCTCTTACTCCCACTCCAGTCGAACGCAGTGAGTTGATAGAATCCCATTACGAGGGCCGCGTGAAACAGCGCCAATTCTGTGTGCAGCATGAGCCCATCCGAGCGACGATGACGCGTGATGAGCACGAATATTTGGGCCGCGTGCAGGCACGCCCGGCGCGCGGCGGACGATCGTGCCCACAGTCGCAGTTTGGCCAAAGCGACCTTGGCCATATCCGGCCCGTTACGCCCGGCAGCGTCCTCTATTGTGGCAAGATCAGTGGTGAGCGAGATGCCCAGGTAGTGCCAGAGAATGAACAAGTTGGTGTTGCCGGTCTCGAGTTCCGTCCGGCAGCTGTCGAAGGCCTGCACTAGGGCGGCGGCCAGCGCGCTAGGCGTGCCATTATTAGAGAAGCCATTTAGCAGCCCGGGTTTGGGAGAATAGGTTTCCAAGAACCACGGCGCCGGTTTCTGCATTTGATGGCTGAAGCTCCAGATCCACAGCCAAATCACGGTCAAGACGACCTCGAGGCCAAATCCCTTCATCCCCGCGGGCACTGGAATTTGCGGATCAAGAGGTGCGGCTAGTGGCTGATGCAACCAGGTGTCGGGGCCGATCTGGTTCTGCCACTTCTGCGCGGAGGCCAGCATGAACAGCTCGTCCTGGCGTACGAGAGGGATGAGGATAGATCCCGGCGCGAGAATAGGAGCGACCCCCAACACCTGAGCCGAGTAGGCATCGGTCAAGATCAATGAGGCGGCCAGGCTGGGTCCCGGTTAGCCAGGGGGATTCGATTCGGAGACAGGAAGAGGAATGGTTTACCGTTGCGCCGACTGAATCCGGGCCCATGCTTTCCATCGCGCATCCTCCGCGTCCGCAGCCGGGAGAAGGGACTCATTCAGGCTGCGCGCGGAAAACAGACCCCTGTCCCGCGCTAACTGCCAATCCCCAATCATGCATCGTGTTAGTCGGTTTGCCCTCATAGTGGTGACGCACAGAGGACGGGGAACGGACTCACCGATAAAGTTTCCTCATAGAGTGCCTGGCGCAGCTCTTCGTATGCCAACTCCTGAGCATGCTGGTCAGTAGCTCGGCCCATCCACTTGACCACGGACGCACGTACCGGTGTAAAGGCGGCAATTGAGAGCAATAGACATGCTGCTCCTAGGGTGGTCAACAGCTCAGGACCCGGGCAATGGCGGAGCCGCGGCGACGTCAACTCGGCTCGACAGTGTTCGATGGCGCCCTGGGACCCTCGGAAGGGAAGTACATTAGCCTTGTCCGAGGACTTGCATATGGGGACCCCTTACTGGAATATGGGTCGCGATCAGACCGCGCGCCGTGGCCTTGTTGAGGAGGACCAAGCCTACGAGGCACATGGGAAAAAGAAAGATACTTGGAGTGAGCGAGGCGTTGAAGGTTCCAGGATGAACAAAGGGCAAGTGGACCTGAAAGTGTGAAAAGTAGAGGTCAAGACACAGATCAAGGATGTCTGTCGGGGGGAGTTCGCCATTCCACGGGCCACAGCTGGACGCACTGCTGGATCCACCATCCCCGCGATCCGGACTGGAAATCGCGCCGTAGCCGCGAGTATCCTCCACCAGGCGATCCCGGCACGCATCAGTTAGACCCCAGAAGGAATCTGCCGGACCCGGCGGGGTCTTCAGCGCCGGGCTTGAGAGAATATTGTCTTCCGGATGTCGAACGATCTCATCCCAGGAGAAACAGGCCGGGATGATGGACCCAGTTCGACGGCGCCTCGGCCAGAGGCGTCGGACTTGCTCGAACTGTTCATTCGAGATGCCGTTTTTGGAGCAGAGATGATGGAATGGGGGGAGGCCGGGATTGATATCGGCCATGCCCGGGCTCCCCACGAGAATGGACTGGAAGTCTATCTCCTCCGACAAATGGTGGTTCACCACGTTGGGGTCGGCTGCTTGAGCTGGCGCCGAGGCCGCCAGTGAGGGGTCAATCATCGGGTCAAAAGTCCCAGGCATGGGAGTTGGCATCGAGGTGATCGTTGAACCGGAGATCGCCCGGGCACTGTTTGGTTGCAGGTCGGGGCACTCGTCGAGGTACCGCTGCAGGCCTTCCAGGCAGGAAGCGTCCATCCCAGTGGAGCCATCCAAATGGGGCAGCTCCCAGTCATGAACCATGGCATCCGGAACCGGACTGGGCGGGGAAACCGGCGGAGTGGGTGAGGGGAACGCCGCCAGCCGGGCGCTCGGGGAATCCGCTCGGGAACTCGGAAAACCCGCTCGGGAGCTCTGCGTCCCGGAACGCACTCTCGTGCCATTGCCCTCGATGAGCTTCCGCGCACGCCCTGCTCCGTCCACCATCTCCACCTCCGGATGGTGATGACGAATATGGCGGTTCAACACGTCGCTGATGGGCGAGTTCTAATTAGCGGCAGAGCAGCCATAGATGTAACCGACGGACTACAAGAAGCGACGCATACCTTCTGGCATAAGCTCGTCCGCATGAAGCACAGCCAAACGGTTTCTCTCCCGTGTCTATCGAATCCCAACACTCAGTCAGTGATGAGGGAATGGTAGGAATGGTGGGAAAGTCCTCCCAACTCACGACATCGTTGATGACGTCGTAAATGCTCAATCTTGGAAAAGACACGATGGCATTTCGCGCACTTTCGAGCCGCAATATCGTGCTGTTTCATGACTGATTTGCCGATCAATCAATCCAATGGTCGTGTTGTGCTGGTAGGTGGAAAGTAGGAAGAATGTGACAGAAGGTGACGGTGGGAAGAGGAATGAATGCAAACGCTCTGAAAAAAGGAGGCAGCGGTTGGCTTGACCCCACAATTGGCCAGCTAAACTAAGGGCGCCACAGTGCGGGGAACCAGTCAATATCCGTAACCAAGACACAGATGAAGAAATAAGCAGTAAAGTTAGAATTGCTGATCGATCAGCAGCTGTAGGCCATCCGTGTTCCGTACATGGACATAGGCATTTATACACGCATAACCGGGCAGCCGGTGCAGCCTTTAGGGAGTCGTGTACTGGCCAGTACTGGACGGTATTAGATAGTAACTAGGTACCGTACTGTACAGGATCTACCGAATTGCCGAATGGCATTGCACTAATTAATCGCTGGCTCAGGTTATGGAACGCGGCGTCTTGCCGATCATGCCAAAACCGGGTGGAAGCGGTGTCGGCAAGTGTGATGCCTCATCCTCAACATTCCCCAACTTGGTAGTCAGTTCGTCCGTCCTGCAGGAGGCATGGGGTCAAAGTTCAGCTGGACAGGCAAAACCTACCACCAATTCAAGATGACAACCGATCCGTTGAGGGTGAAGTATCCATCGTACCAATCGTCGTCGCTCGTGGCATGCATCATGCCGAATTTGTTCACAGGCCGCCAGCGCAGAGCTTCCTTGATAATGGCACGGACGTAGGGCAGGTTAGGCTCGTCCTCCCAGCCGGGGAGTCGGTCCCGGCCGACCACCTGGTCGAGTTCCTGCTGGGCGCGCTGCACGACCGCCGGATTAAGGGCCATCGCTAGGAGCCAGTTGTTCAGCGTGGTCGCAGTCGTCTCACTGCCTGCTTCGACTAATCCGCCGCAAGTGTAGGCCGCCGCGAGGTTGTCGATCCCCGCTCGGGATCCTTCGGGTAGAAGCTTTTGCAGAAACAGTCCGCGGCGGTGCCTTGGCAAACCACCTCCGGACCTGTTCAGGCACCTGCTCCGAGTCGGCCAGATCCAGCATATTGCCGATAAACGGCAGACCTCGTGGACCGAGGTCAGCTTCGACGCCGCGAGTCCGTGAGCCTGGTGTGTACAAGGTAGAGATAGACCGAGCAGACGCCTACGAGGAAGACCAGCGCGAGCACTGTGCCACGTGGGAGGGGTCTCTCCCCGAAGGAGGAAGAAAGCGGAAAATGGCTGACGGCAGGCATCCTCCTGTAGCCAAGAATTCGGCAAGATATGAGATATGTAGGTAACCGCCGGGTTGCATAGAATCTAGACCTTGAATATTGCGACCCGGCACTAGTAAATCGCAGTGAATATTTGTTCAGGCAATGAGGCACGGTAGCTTGGAAGCATGAAAAAATGTAGATGTCAATCCTTATACCCCATAATTTGGGCCTGGGAGCTATACTTACTCATTGAGTTATACTTACCCATTCTCTCCTCTTCGATGTTCCATCTTTCCCCCACACCCGGGTCAACCCCATGTCCCCACCATGATTCACCCCACCTGTCCTGCGCAAAGCTAGATAAGTGGCATAGAGGGGTTGTTCCGCAGTCTGTCCCTCAATCTCAAGCCCGCATCCCTCTCGCAGTTTTTGAAATCACTAGGACGTACAGCCCCGGAGAGACTAGAAATGCCGTCCGTCATCAAGTATTCGCATCCTTCGCTGGGGGTTGTACAAGGGTTAGCATCTGCCTCCACCCATCAGTTTCAAGGCGTACCCTATGCGACGCTGGCGAATGGATGGGCAGCCCCGTCGGTGGTAGAAGGAGATCCAAGTGGCTCGATTGATGCTACAACGCCTGGGTAAGAGTTTCCCATAATTTTTCCAGTGACTGGTGACCAGCTTTGTCCAATCTGACTGACTACTCGCAAGACCAACAGCTCCCTCCCCGCCGATGGGGGTGGAGATGGAGTTTGCTCACCTGCAGCAGCGACTCCCCACCCCCAACCTCCATCAATCGGCGACCCAATGTCTTAACTTGAACATCACCGCGCCTGCTGATCACTCCCGCGAATCCCGTCTGCCCGTCATCGTCTTTCTGCATGGTGGAGGGTACGCGATTGGCGCCAATTCCTGGCCGCAGTACGACTTTCAACGGCTGGTTGAATTGTCGGTCCGGATTGGCCAACCCGTCATTGGGGTCAATGTCAAGTAAGCCGCCTGAATAGCCAGCACGGAATTGTCTTCACAACATGGCCGCTGACAGAAAGTGTCCAAGCTATCGATTGGGAGCGTGCGGGTTTCTGACCTCGGAAGAGCTGATAACACGTGGCTATCCCTCTAACAGGGGCCTTTTGGATCAACGAGCGGCTTTGCTATGGATCCAGAAGTACATCGCAGGTTTTGGCGGAGCGCCGGAGAGCGTTACGCTGGTCGGCCAGAGCGCAGGTGGAGGTCCGTTTGCTCCTTTCCTCCTTTTTCCTTCTTCCTCCTACCCGACCAGTCCTATACGTCCATCCAGGTTCGAACCCACCCAGCTCATACATGAATGTGCACAGTTTCTGCCACCCACCATCTCCAATCAGAATTGCCTCTATTCAAGCGCATGGTGAGCATGGGCGGCACGAATCTCCTCATGAGGCCCCTTCCCGACCCAGTGACCGAGCTGACCTATCGCGGGTATGTGGATCGACTGGGACTGGGCTCACTTTCCGCCGCGGAGCGGGTTCAGGCCCTGGTGGCGTTGGACGATGAGAAGATTGTCGCTGCTTTCTCCCCGGCGGATGCCTTCCTGCCAGCGAGCGGGGGCGAGCTGGGACTGATAGACCACACCTATGCAGAGATCTACGAGGGCGATGCTGGTCCCCTTGTGCTTCCCGGACGCAGATGGTGCGAAAAGATCATGATCGGGGACTGTCAACTGGATGTAAGTGCTCCGTCCTCGGGTCTGGGGTGGTGAGGGTGTGTGTCCCCTGTTAACTCAGCACCAGGGCAGTATCATGTCCGCAATGCTTCCCTACGATCCGGCCACTGTTGCTTCTACATTCCGCAAGTCATTCGAACGTTCCCTCGGGTCAGCGGAAAAAGCTCAACTGGTAATGACGGAGTATGGCATCCGCGAGGAGTCGGATGGACAAGAGGCCTATGACCGGATATTGACATTTGTCACTGACCTCTGCTTCTTCCTACCTATTCTACACTACGGAAACTGCTGGTCTGGCCAGGCCTATCTGTACAATTTCAACGAGCCCAACCCCTGGGACGGACGCTGGAGTGGCCGCTCCAACCACATCCTCGATGTGGCCTTTCTGTTTCAAAACTACAACGAGCGGCTGTCCGAGCCCCAGCAGGCCGTGGCTATCCAGTTTGCAGAGGATCTCATCACCTTCGCTCATGGTGGGGACCCGTGGAAGCCATTCAAATGGGAGACCAAGGATCTGCATGTTCGGGTTTACGGAGGGCGCGCGGCGGAGACCGCGGGCAAAGTTCAGACCGTGCTGGCTCCCGAGCCTCGGACTGAGCGCAGCACCTCAATTTTGACCCTTACGGCGACGATTCCCGCCGACGACTTGTCGCGAGCTTGGGGTGTGTTTTTGTCTGGGCATTAGGATGCGTTGACTAGCGGGCTGAGATTACCGGAATCGGTACTCCGCCATGTAGATTGTTCGTTGCCAGTCGCGTAGCTACGGCATAGCAAGAATTGACTCTATAATACGTGCATTTCAAACTCTAAGCTTGCGGAAGACAATATGCTCTATCTTGACTCGACCGGTAAAATTGTGTACCATATTCAGCATTGCAGGGGTTGTCAGGTATACGGACAGAGTAATCACCGGCAGAATGTCGCTTCCAGTGTCCGAGCTAGACATACATACCCATGCCATTCCCGGGTACTGCTGTCTCTCAAAAGGTACCCCGAACCTCACCTGCGGTGTCTCAGGGTGTCTCGAGGCGCACCACAGTTTAAAGGGCGTATACGAAGTTCGAAAGCTTCACTTTCTGGGGTCTCAAAATAGAGATGATTGTAAGGTTGACTACTAGAGTCTATCACCTCAGGTCCTCAAAACCTTTTAGCTACATAATGCATCATGGTGGGTAGATAATGGTGTAGGCGGTCGCGGGCTGCTGCGCGAACATAGCCCTCCTTAGAATCATTACTATATTCTGAAGCCCGACATTTCGACAGGGTAATATTAACAGTTCAATTGTTTTTCTTTTATATCATTCTTTCTCTTTCCATCTTAGAAGAATAAAAAAATTTAATTACGCTCTCCTGGTTACACCATCTTTTTGTTCTTGTTCTTGCTGCCCAGTTCCAGCCCCCACATAGCCATAACATAGTATGTGGGGTGCTGAAGCTTCCTTTTCGTAGCGCCGCTCGAGCGAACAAGGCATGGCCTCAGCTGTGCTGAGACGCGTGTGAGAATTATCTAGAAGATGCAATGCTTAATCTTCCAGCAGGCCATGCACATCGCGCTAGAGGCCGGATCCTCTCTTGACTTTTGTCCCCTTGTCTTCCGCCCCCTACTTTTCCATATATCTTTAACCCCATACGGTGTTATCTTGCTTCTATCGTTTGACACCTAGCCCACAATTGAGCTCGCGTTGACCTTACCATGGGCGACGATTGTGCGATGACGACGACGAGGAGGAGACAGCATGTCTGCAACATCTGCAAGAAACGGTTCCTTCGCCGCGAGCATTGCGTGCGCCATCGACGCGGTCGTCAGTACTCCACACGCCCGTTATTCCCTAGTGAATTCCTCCAGTGCCCCGCTGAACACTTTTTCTTTTATCCAGATACCCGCGAACAGCCGTTCCAATGCCGATACTGCGTGAGAAAGTACAGTCGCACGTGAGCTCCTTCGACCCAATCACCCTTCCCCCGGCTCACTTTCCCTTGACAACTGGGAATAGAGGAAGTGGTCTGTTTAGGACAAAACTGAAGGGACGGGATTGAACTAGAGACGTCCTTATACGGCACGAAAAGACTGCTCATGGGGACAAATACCGCGCCCGACCCTCCATTTGGGAGGTCAGCACCGCAGCATCGCCCACAAGTACCCACGTAGCACATCAATTCGAGCCCGCGGCCCCAGACAGCCCCGACGTGACCCACTGGCGCAGATCCACGGACCCCATCCAGCACGCGCTCACCGTCCAGGATTTCACCACCCTCCATGCCGAGGCACTTTCGGCGAGCTATCTTATTCCGCTCTCTTCGATGCAGACGCAGACTCTATTACCGGCCTGTGGACAGGAGGAACTGCCGTATGCGACGCCCGCAGCCACGGAGTTCACTGCGTGGTCGTCGCCCCGGGTGGAAGATGCGAATTGGCTTGGGATGGAGGTTGAGGTGCGCAAATTTCACGACCTGGGCTGGAAGGAGAGTCCGAGCCTGATGCCCTGCGTTAGGCGTAACACGAGACTCGAGGGTGATGAAATGGCGGAGCATGAGGTGGAGGACGGCCGTGACGATAGCAACGAGCTGCTGGGCTCGTTGGGTCCCATCTTCGACCCGCTCTGGCACCCTCTTATCACGCGCCGGGCAGCGGTCACGGGATATATGCTTGATCGACATCATGATGTTCTGCATCGCGCAGGCCTTCTGAATACATGACTCTTGAGCGGGTCGCGACTGGTGGGAAATGCGAGGCGCAATGTAGTTATTTTTGCATAAGATCCAAGATTTGAACTGTGGGACATTTCATATCTCAATCCTTTCACCTGCCCATCTGTGGTAAACTTCCCGTATAAGTGCCTCGGATACGACCAAAGAATGGCTCTTTGGGCTACATATCACGGCCATGTGTATGATGTAAAGCCACACTCCACAGTGCTCCCAACAAAAGCCCACAGCGCTTGGCCACTTGTAGCAGCGCCCCCAATTCCAAGCGGAGGAGAACGCCTTCGCCTCACTCCTTCCCCCAGACCCTAACTGTGTGGAATCTCGGGACCGTTTCCCCCTCGTCTCTGTAGAGGTGGGGTGCCGGTGACGGGAGCTTAACCCCACCCGCTGGAGCATCAAGAGGGTGACTTATATCCAGTAACATGATCCCAGGTCCTGCACAACCGGCAATACAGGTAGTCAATCCAACAAAAAAAGATTCATCTATCAGCTGTTGAAAGATGACCGCAGACACCACAGAGAACATCGCCTTTATTGGTAACATCCCTTCCTTAACCCGCCTGCATCAGATTGCTTAGGGTTGCCCGTCGTCGTGGCCGCTGCTAACCGCGGTGAGTCTTCAGGCCTGGGTGCCATGGGATACGCCATGGCCCAAAATGTGCGCAAGAGCATGCCATCAACAGGGCGGATGTACATCTTTGACGTCTTTTGCAGCACATGTGAGCGGTTCCAGACCGAGATGGAGGGGATCGGCGCGGTGGTGGTGGTTGACTCTGCTCGAGAAGCCGTGGAGCAGGCGCCGACAACCATCTCCATCGTTCCCAACGCCGCCGACGTTCGACATCTTTACCCCGACGAGGAAAACCGGTTGATTGCGGCCAGACAGATTCCCGAGCGTTTGGTTTCGGAGTGTAGTAATATTTCTGCTCGAGCCATCCGCGTATTATAAAAGCAGTCTAGCCGAGTTTATTATGATTGCTTCGCGGGGTATAGTGCGGGGGACCGACGTTCGGAGATCCACCACATCACCTCCCTGCAACAACCCCCATATAATAAGTTCTGCAGAACCTCGTATGGATTGACGACTGGATACTTAAGCCACCGTCTCACTAGTTTCCATCTTCTCTTTTATTTCCTTGATGTATAATTCTACACATATCACAACAACGAAAACAACCACACCGCAGGAGCAGTATGTCCGACTTCGACCGGGAGCTCCCCGAGACAGCCGCTTTCGTTGACGTGAAGCTCCTAAACGGCGGCAGTATGACAGCACATTATCACAAGCTCCATGCCGGTGAGCCAGCTGTGGAGTTCAGAATGTACAACTGGGCTTTCTACATATACCATCCGGGCCAGCAGAGACATATCATCTGGGACCTCGGGTTCTCGTCGGTGCGTCGCTCGGAATATGGGGTGGGTATGAGGACTGTTTACTCACTAATAGAGGCACATCCAGAACCCTGACGACTATCCGCCCGCAGTCGCAGAGGGCCCCTTCGTCGAAGCCCAGTTCCAGGCGCCCAGCGAGTCAATCTCAGATCAAATTCAACGTCGTAGCGGAGTGTCACCGGATCAGATTGATACCATCATTTTTAGGTGCGGAGGGACTTCCATTGCGAAGCATCGGCAGCAGCCCTGGACTAACTGATCCATCTTCTCACAGTCACGCTCACTTCGACCACTGCCGTCCCATCAGCCGCACGTTCCGCAACGCAGTCGCCTGGTTCGGACCGGGGACGCGCGAGTTCTGCACGCCGGGACACTTGGCCGACCCGACCTCCTTCTGGGACGGCCGATTTTTCGACCCGGAGGACCGCGCGACCGAGAGGTGGCAAACCTTTCTGGGCCCTTGGATGCCCTTCGGACCTTTTCCCCATGCAATGGACTTCCTAGGCGATGGTAGCCTGTGGATCATCCAGGCCCCGGGCCACATGCCCGGGAACCTGTGCGCATGCGCCCGGCTGGCGTCTGGAGACTGGATCCTGCTGGGATCAGATTGCTGTCACTCACGGTATGATCCTTTTTCTTGCCTTCTACCAACAGCGAAGGTGCGAGTGCATGGGGGAAAGAGAAAGCACGAAAAAAAAAAAAGACGAAAAATGAAAAATTGTGCTCACTGTTACGTTTGGAACTCTATCTAGGGCTCTCCTGGACGGGGTCAAAGACTTCGCCCGCTTCCCGCTCCCCGGAGGCACCCATTTCTGCTTGCACACCGACCTCGACGCGGCGCGGGACACGGTAGCCCGTGTGCGGTATCTGGAGACGCACCGAGGGGTGCATGTTGCGCTGGCGCACGACACCTCCTTCATCGAGGATGGGCAGGACAAGGTGCTATTGTCGTTGCTTGACGAGGAGGGTCTGGACGGCTGGAATGCTGCCATTCGCAAACAGAGGCCTATCTAGTCCCCAATGTTCTTCTATTCTTGATGGAAATGCCCCAAATGATGACTTGAAAGGAAGAAGAGTAAACCACTCGGGAATGATGTGCAGAGGTGACGAAAGAAGAAACAAATAACAGGAATAAGCTCTCTACACCCTTTATGAAAATGCGGAGGGGGGGGCCGATATATGTTTAGCGTCCCAGGTGAATGGAAACAACAACCCCACCCCACCGTATTTTCCTTGGGGAGAAGCCTTGAAACCAACAGATGAGGCCAGCTGGGGAAACTCACACTGCATGGGATACAGCCCTAATTCATTTAGGGATGCAAGTACCTCTATGCTGGTGAATATCTAGTAGCGATACCACATTCGACCCAAGAGACTTATAATATCACTCAACACGAATTTATGTACATACACAATATACAGTTAACATTCCACACTCAATCTACCACCATCCCTTCCGCATTCACCTTGACCGAACCCAGCATATAGCCCTCCTCCTTAGCATGCTGCCACTCCCTGCGGATCAACCCCACTACCTTATCACTCCTCGGGACGAATCGCAACTCACTGGGCTTGGGAAGAGTGTTCATCCCCTCCTCGTAGGCGGCGTCGGACACATCAACAGATCCGATCTTCCCGTCGTCGGTAAGCGGGGGGAGGATCTCAAAGGCCCATACCAGGCACGCGATGGTGATGAACAGGCTGTTCTCGGCCAAGTGCATGCCGGGGCAAATGCGGCGACCTGCGCCAAAGTCGAAATGATCGCGGGCGTACGGGTCAGCGTGAGCGGCGTATGCCCCCGCCTTGAGGGGGTGGTGGAGATACCGGTCCGGCACGAAGTCGTCTGGGTTCTCGTACCGCGCCGGATCGAAGTGTAGCGCGTATTGATTTATAGCAACCGTGGTGTTGGCGGGAATAAACCAATCTTTATACACAACGTCCGCGGAGGTGTAGTGGGGAGAGCCGAGGCTGTGAATAGAGGGGACGGGTCAGTATGCAAAAGACATCAGGGTGCTTGGGGTGTTTTTTTACTTGGTGACCGGGCGGATTCGCAGAACTTCCTTCACGCAAGCACGGATGTAGGGCAGCTCCGCCTCATCGCTAAAGCTAGGGAGGCGGTCCTCACCCACCACACGGCGGAGTTCCGCGAAGGCCTTCGCCTGGGCTTCCGGGTAGGCCGCCAAGTACTTGACACAGGAGTTGAGTGCGGAGGAGGTCGTCTCGGAACCTGCCTCGATCATTGCTGCAGAGTAAAACCATTAGTCCACCCGTCGGCAAGGGACTGAGAAATGCATGATCAGAACATACTTCCGGCAACAAAGCTGGCTTGCAGCTCGCTGATACCCATTTTTTCATAGTCAGTGTTGATGAACTGCTTCACAAAACAATCCGGAGCTTGGTTCTTCTCCATCTGCGTCCGGAGACGGTTCCAGTATTTCATCCAGATGACCGCCTGTCGGTTGAAGGACCGGAGAGCGGCCTTTCTCCACCACTGCATCCACTGGGGGAGGTATGCCAGCACCTGGAAGGTCTCGGCTAGGTATTTTCCGGGCGTGGCAAATTCGCTGAACTCCTGCATCAACCCGTAAATCTCGCGGATGTCTTCACATTCCTGAAGGAATGGTGCAGGAGTCAGCGCGGACCTCGACCGGAGGGAGGGAAGCAAACAAAACACTTACCCATACTGGGACGCGGCGTCCGTAGGTCGATGTCATCACCACTGGTTTCGAGAGAATTAGCACCGGACGACCGGGGATTTCGACGGCGCAACAGGAACTGCCCACGTACCCGAGGTCGTATACCGTCGAATATGCATGTAGAAGTTCTTCTGATTGTCGTTGTCCGTCAGAATATCCCACAGCAGCTGCTTGGCCTCAAACTCCTGCGACGGAATGAATTCGTTGGATGCTTTCGGGGTCAGAAGTTTGTGCACGATGGCACGAAGCCGCCGCCACTCTGCCGAATAGGGCATAAGGAGGAACCTGAAGACTCGCGTACACCCTGGTTAGTGGGTTGCATGGCGTTTCTTGGACAAGATGCGTCTTTCTCCCCTTACTCACCTCATCCCGCCGGAGAGCAAATCAGATACCACGGGGCTCGGTGCGCGTGAGGAAGTGTGCTGGGACTGCTTGTCGAAAATCTCTTTCACCGCCGAGGGACTATTTGCGTAGATCCAAACCTGGCGCCCGAAGCGCACCTGGAACAGTTCGCCGTACTCAACGGCCCATTTGCGGAGTTGTTGTTGGGGATATGCTCCCATGGCAGTGACATTCCCAGCAACAGGCACCTCCCGGGGCCCTTGGGGCAGTTTCCGTGCCCTTCTGACTCGCAGGACCAGGAACACTGCAGTGACCGCGAGAATCGCGACAGTAATAAGAGCCATTGGTGCCAGACGAGGGAATCGGACAGTTAATTGAGTGGTGTACAGGAGTGGCTTTTTGACGGCTGTGCGGCACTGAAACTTGTCAACATGGCGGGCTAGGGCTATTTGAAATGCAGTAAAGGAGTGAGGCAGACGGAGGGAGACTGGGGAAACCCAAGCTTTTTCACCCCACATGAATAGTCCACTCTTATACCAAGCCCGAGTGTTACTCAGAACACTACACTGACACTCACAGCAATCTAAATTCACCGAGGTCGAATGCCCTTTAAACGCGCGGAATTGATAATGGGGGCCCCATCGTCTCAACCCAACCACGAAGCCCGCCGTTGTTCACGTGAACTTGGAGACCGGGAGAGCACCCAGCTGCCTTCCACCCCCTCAGAGGGACCAGATCTACGTCGTCGTTCACCCTATTGACAGGGGTCAGATCACTCTGCCCGAAAGTTACTTTCTCTCCTTCAGTGATCCCATCGCGCGGGTCACAATTCCCTCTCTGAGCTTCCTGATCGCTCACCCCAGGGCTGTCCTGCCCCGATACCTGCTCTTCGACCTGAGCCTACGCAGCCAGCTTGAGCGCTATCTCCCCAAGCAGCAGGCGCACTTAACCAATCTTGTTCCTTACCGGCTGGGTCTGGGGGTTGCGCAGCATCTGCGCGACGGGGCTTGGATGTCGACACCGTCATTCTCAGCCACGTCCACTACGACCACCACGGAGACCCCGGGGATTTTCCGCAAAGTCGTTTCGTTGTTGGAGCCGGCTCATTATCCCTGACTCCATCGCGTATTGGAAGACACGAGTGCCTTATACTGGGCTTTTGACGCAGAGCTCTTCCGTACTGTGGAGAGCAGCGGCGGCATTATACACAAGCTTCTGGATGCTGAGGCTGCTGCCCCATAAATGCCACTGGAGCCTTTTCCCGCGGCGCTGGAGCTCTTGGGGGACGGGTCTGTCTATATAATAGATGCCCTGGGCTATCTGCAGGGCTATCTTAACCTGCTCTGCCGGCTGGGACCGCAGCAATAAATTTATCTTGGTGGGGATAACTGCCACAATATACAGCTACTTCACGGAGAGCACAGGATAGCGACCTAGGAGGATAAGCAAGGCATTTACCACTGTATCCACCTGGATTGGGCACGAGTTGAAGATACCCTACAGAAGATCCAGCGTTTGAAGAAGGCCAGCGCGCGAGAGGGGACCGAGTTAGAGGACGTCATGGCGCACGACGTCCAGTGGTGGAAGAACTTGCGATATACATGCAGTTTCCCGTCCACTGCGATATACATGCTGAAATACGACTTTACACCTTGCTTACTTACCTGGAAATTAGCAGAACCAACATGAGTACTTTTACAGCAGAACTCTACACTGAATGCCTCTCAAGGTTACACTAATTGCCTTAAAGGCCACAATCGGCCTGATTTAGGGTTGCTTGTGCGGACCCTGATGTACCCCATGCGGACCACAAACGTTTCAGTTCAATACCCTTGATACCCATCCCAGTGCCGAAAATTACCTTTGGCAGGGATAGCTGCTCATGAGGGTTCACCGACAAGCCTGCTTTTGCGAAGGACATCTATCTAGATTGTAGTATGGTAAGTATTCACCTATGCGGGGTGAATGCCAAGAAGGCTTCCCGAACTTATGTGGGGTGCATACCAAGAATCCCTCACCCTCTAGAGCTATGCGCGGGATTGCAAAAATGACTCTTCCAATACGTGATTGTAGTAAGCGGAGTTGAATTATCGTAGTCACCGGCAACCGGCGAAAGAGCACCCTATCTGTCACATTTGAGGCTTTGTATAGTACATACATCGGCCGGCTAGGATCTCGGTCACTATGTATGCCAGATGATGAATTCGAACAATGCAGAGAGATCCTAGCAATGTATACTTCGCTCCGGATCATACACTGGTGCAGAGTAGCAGGAGTAGTAGGGCTTTTAGGATATAGTATTAAAACAAGCAAGAACGTTAGTTTCAAAATAGAAAAGTGAAAATATGAAAATCTTACAACAGAAGTGATTATATATCTAATTCTTATTTAAATAATCACTGTATATATTTTTAATAAAGTCCTGTTTATTTAAATCTTTGGGGCTACTGCCTATTCTTGTATAATCTTGGATAATATATAAAATTAGTCTTGTAGTTCTGGTGTATCAGCATGTTGCTGCTTAAGTTACTACCCCTAAACTGTCTGCCCCCAGCAGTTCTAAAGAGATTTACCCACATGTGACGCATCTCTGGGCAGATGTCTTAGGGGTGACGACTGAAGAACTTGACGTGCAGGATAATCAAGTAGGTCCGACGGAAGGAACCAGAGGAAACCAAGCTTATACGCGTACCCGAGACAGTTGGCTCAGACTCTAACCTATTGCCAAATCGCGTGGCTGGGAGACAGGGGCCTCTTCTTTGGAAAGGGACATGGCAATGTGGCTTAACTCTCTCGAGTAGTACGGCGGAGCGGGCCGGAAGTTCTGTTCTACCTGCTCCCTAATCGTATGTGATGGACTACGAACGTTATTAGTCAAGATAGTGTAGATGTATCAAAATACAATGATCCCTTCGGACTTTGATGTAGAAACAGACCTGACATAACAAACATACAGGGAGCAGAAACCTGAAAGTGCTGATGTGGAGCGAGTTGGGCATCACTTCAGACTGTCCTATCCGCATGAATCCCTGCTGTGAGTGTGGCTGTGTGCAGCACTGCCTCGGACACTTCATCCTTCTGTCATGTTCGCCCCTCGGATGAATTACTTATCATCCGTTCCATCTCCTTGAGGTCTGATTCCATTTAATCTGGAGTCTTTTGCAAGTAAATCCGGAGTACAATATCGAGATCCCTTTATTAACCATGAGCTTTGGTTTCGGTGTGGGTGACTTTCTCGCGATAATCCAGCTTGCCAACAAGATAAGGAAAGATTTTGTCGAAGCCCCCGCGCAGTTGAGAGATCTCTCGGACGAGTATGCTTGCTATATCTTCTTATAAATTTAGGTGAAGACGCTGCGCTAATGATTGACACAGAGTCCGGAATCTCTCTATTGTGGTGCAGGATCTTGAGGTTGAACTGTCCGGAAAAGAGCTAGACAGGGCACAGGAGGCCGAGTTGTGCAATATCGTACAAAGCTGCCGCAGCTTACTCAACGACATTCAGAAGCTTGTTGGTCAATACAGTGAGCTGAAACATGATTACTGCGGCAACAAAGTAATTAGAGCATGGAAACGTCTGCGATGGGAACCCATTGACGCGCAATATCTTCGGACCCGCATCGGTAGCCAAGTTTCATTATTGAACGCCTTCAATGGCAGGGTTCTTCGCAGCAACGTTTCTAAATTAATGGATTATCAAGAGAGGCAGGAGCAAGAGAGAATTCTAGACTGGTTGTCACCAGTGAACTACGCATCTAAACAGAGTGAACTCACTAGAAGACGACAACCGGATTCGGGGCATTGGTTCTTGCAGTCATCAAAGCTTCAGACATGGCTGACGATGCCCGAACAGACTCTCTTTTGCTATGGCATTCCCGGGGCTGGAAAAACAATGTTGACGTCGGCTTTGATTGAAGAGCTTGAATCTCGATACGGAACCGATGCTAACGTTGGCATTGCTTATATTTATTGTTCTTATCAAACTAGGAAAGAGTGTCTTATGGAGGATATCATCGCGAACTTGATCAAACAGTTCTTACAGGACAGAAATTCCCTACCTGTTCATGTGAGAGAGCTGTACAATAAGAACCAGCCAAGGGGGATACGTCCGACTTTTGAAGAGTTGTTGCTGGTATTGCAAACTGTCTGTTTTGAGTCTGCACAGATATACATAGTGATTGACGGGCTGGATGAGCTTCGCTTAGCTACTTATTCGCTCGACTTACTGATTGACGAACTGCTCGCTTTTCATGAAGCATGTGGTTTGAATCTACTGGTCACTACTAGATTGATCCCAGAGATTGCAGCCAAATTTCGGCACAAACCAGCCATCGAGATCCGAGCAAATGAAGAAGATGTGACGGCATATCTCAGAAGCAGCATCCCGAAGTTACCATCATTTGTGTTACGAAACCCAGAACTTCAGAATGACATCATTTCTTGGATTGCTAAGATCACTGATGGAATGTAAGTGTACTTCGTTCACTCTCAATTTGTCTGACATTATGTTAGGTTTCTTCTTGCCGATCTGTATCTTAACTCACTGGTTGGGAAAACATCACCCAAAGCCATACGCTTGGCTTTGAAGGACATCTCTATGAAAGCCAAAACATACGATGCGGCGTACGACAACGTCATGGAACGCATCGAAGGACAGACTACAGACAAGAGAAATATGGCCATGCATATCTTGTCATGGATCACATGTGCGCAACGATCAATAACCGCGGTAGAGCTACAACATGCACTTGCTGTCGAGGTCGATGAGTCTTACTTCGATGAAGACAACATGCCAGACTTGAATGAAATGTTCACTGTCTGCGCAGGGCTAGTTGTCCAGGACCCATCGAATAATATTATCCGGTTCGCCCATCACACATCCTATGAATATTTCAATCAGACTAAGGACAGATGGTTCCCTAATGCACACTGCAACATTGCCACAACATGTGTGACGTACCTGTCATATGACGCCTTTGGATCAGGGCCTTGTCTGACCGATGCGGATTTTGAATGGCGACTAACCCAGTTCCCGCTTTACTCTTATGCAGCAACCAACTGGGGACACCATGCTCAGGAAAAGCTTTCTGACGAACGATTGGTATCGAAATTCCTCATTAGTCCTGCTAAACTAAACGCCAGCATGCAAGCTCTCTTTGCACGAAACACGGTGGAGGGGTCACGCAGGTATAGCCAAGTATACCCTCTTCATCTCACAGCGCTACATCTTGCGGCCATCTTTGGTCTGAATTATGTATCATTGAACTTAATTAATCACGGCTCTGACGTGAATGCGGCAGACTCGCTTGGAAGGACGCCATTATCATGGGCCGCCATCAAAGGGCATGATACTTTAGCCACGACTCTACTTAGCAGCGGAGCGGATCCTTGTCATAGAGATGGTGATGGTCGAACACCATTATCGTTGGCCGTGATTGATGATCACTTGGCGGTGGTCGATAATCTACTTCAGCAAGGTGCCGATCCCAATACTCAAGATATATATGGTCACACGCCGCTTTCGTTGGCTGCATCAACAGGCCGTGAGCAGTCTGCTAGACTCTTATTAGCGGCAGGAGTTGATCCTAACTCCACAGACACAATGGGGCGCACGCCGTTATCATGGGCCGCATCTGGGGACCATGTGGGGTGTATTGACATCCTGCTAAGAAATGGTGCTGTATTGGAATCCAGGGACGTCTATGCAAACACTCCTTTGGCATGGGCAACTATGAATGGTTGCCATGAAGCGGTTCAACTTCTTCTGGACAGAGGTGCAGATGCAAGTTCTCAGTATCTGAGCGACTTAACTCCTGGGATAATGGCGTTGGAAAGCGGCCATGACACAACTGCCAAGCTCTTTGCCGAGCTCATATCTCCTAGATTTGGGGAACAAGGAGCGGAGCCTGCAAGGTTCACGTGCTGTTTATGCAGCATAGAGCCAAACGATCGCCTTTCGCATCATCGTCGTGTTTTTGGCAGAGATATGTTTCGATTTCATATGTTCCAGACGCATTTCAGACGGAGCATTTATCGCTGTCCAGACTGTTCGGGGTCATATATTAGACGCGATAAGTTTTACGTACACATAAGGAATCACCACCGGAAAATGGCAGATCGGTCGGAAGTCGACAAGTGCAAGGTCGAAGAGCCTCCTCCTCGGGCATGTCCAGTTTGCCAAAAAGTTATACACTCCTGGAACGAGCTGGAAGCATGTATTAGAGTTCATTGTGGTCTTTGAGCCTGGTGTTGTGGTTCTGACTTTTTCATATGTAGTAATGATCAAGGTTCAGCTATCAGAATACGGGTTGTAAAGTATCCCACTGTGCACCACGACTACAACTCATTTTCGCAACCCCAGTAAATCATAACTATATGCCAACATAAGCACTAAGCATAGGGCTAACTCATTATAGTGTAGACACGCCAACACCGAGGATGGCTCACTTTGGAGGAGCCTGTATGGGCCTAGGCAAGAATGAAACAAAGGAATGGCCACACTGAAAGCCTTGTGGAATCCTTGTCCCTACTGCATAAGCATCAGAATAGAACACTCCCATCCGTGAGTGTTCCTCGAGTAGGATATAAGGTGTCTCCTCTTCGAGCTGGTATCTCCTCCGTTAGCTTCAAACCTGCAAATCCACTGCTGTCTGAACATCCTTCGATCGAAAAGATGACTGAGCCTATCACTGTCTAATTGACCTGTAAGTCATCCGTAGTCTATCCATCACACATCAACCTACCCATGACTAATTTCACGCTTCTAACAGCTTGGATCTCTAATTTTCCCCTCCTGGAAAATGCCTCGTTATAGATACGTTTTATTGCTGGCCACATATCGAGATGCGTATGCTTAATTCGCTATATACTATACTTATGTATAAATATTGTCAAATGTATGCAAAGAAACAGAAATATGAAGCTCAACATCGACAATCAAAGTAGTCAAACCAAAAAAGTATAATAATATAAAACAAAATCTATATGCATATGCAATCTCCAAACAACAGAAACAAAGCAAAACCACAGAGGTAAGCCACATCATGCATACACGTACCCCGGAAAATAACAAAACAACAAAAGATAATCAAACAACACCATCATGCAATCTATATGACATCTATAAATCAATTTCATCGCGTCAAAAACTCAAATATCATCGTCTATCCCAACATCCCCATGATCTTCTCAATCTCTCCCGCAATTTCGTCAACAAGCTTATGCACCTCTTCGACATCCATAACACCTCCTTCAACTCGAACACCGAACCCGATTGAATCCGTCTTGGCATCTGGACCAACATCGATGAATATATTTTCTGACGGTAGGAAACCCGTATCCAGTGCCGATACGGCAGTGACTTCTTCAGCCAAATGCTGTTCGGGAATGAAATCTGTAGGGACACCGATCCGCAACGGAGAGAAGAAGTCCTCTGAACCATCTGATGTGGTATTGGTAGTTTGCGTCCAGAGGAGGTTCACCCAGGTGTTGAAGAGAGGTTTGTCAGGTGAGATCCATTGGAGGATGTTGCGGAGGGAACTTTGTTCGTAGGAGACGCGGTCCGCGAGAGAGGATTGGATGGCGCGGACTTGGGTGAGAAGGTCGGTGTTGACGGAGTTGGTGTTCGCGTTAGGGATGGTGAAGGGGTTGACGTTCAGACAGGGTCCGGAGAGGTTTCCGATGTTGTTGAAGGAGGCAGAGCGACCGGCTTGGTAGAGACCCATGGTTGGGTTTTGGACGCCGGTGAGACGTGCGATGCAGCGGGCTATGGCGAAGAGGATGACTGTTTGTAGGCTGACGTTGGAGGATCGGCATCTTGTCTCGAGCTGGGAGAGGTCCTTGACCTTTTCCCAGACTCCGATGAAGAGCTGGTCTGGGGTGGATTGGGTTTCGGTGCGAGTGTTGCAAATGATGGTAGGGGAGGCGTCACCGAGAGTAGTGTTCCAATATTGCTTTTCATCGAGATTCTGGAGAGAGCGCACTGAGAAGTCGACGAAGGCAGGGAAGTCCGTGTTTGTTTCGGGGGTTTGGCCATGGTAGAGCTGTGCTAGCTCTTTAACGAACATCGGCATGGTCCATGCATCGTAAGCAGCATGGTTTATAAGAACGAGGATGCCATCTCTGTCGCTAGCTTTCAGGAGACGGAGTCTGACGGGAGGTGTGTAAAGCGAGGATGGATGGAGAGCCTCTTCTCTTGCTTGTGCTTGGGCTGCTTCGGAAATTGGGCTAGAGGTCTCGATGACCTGGAACGTGCTTGCATCACGCACCGCCTGCTTGAGAACAATCTGTACTGCTTCCGATGAGGATGTAGCTGCAAAGCAGGTGCGGAGGATGGGATGTCTTTGACGGAGCTGGAACCAAGCTTCCTCAATCTTGGCACTGTCGATGCGCTCGGAGCAATCGTAAGCCCAGGCGGGTTCGAGCAGCTTCCGTCCGGACTTCAACCAGCTGACGAGGTGATAGAACTGGCCACCTAGACAAGGTAGAATTGCTTCGACGGAGTCCATGCTGAGATTGAGCTGCTGTAGCACAGTTGCTTCCACCTCGGCATAGTTCTCAATGAGTGAACCCTGAGGTTGGATTGTCTGTTCGGAAATTGGCTGGATACGTTGGCTGATACCACGGAGGGTGTTTCCCTGAAGGATGTCGGCTACCCCAATCTTCAACCCCTTCGATCGACAAATTGAAGCAATGCGGATAGCTGTGAGAGAGTCCAGTCCAATATTGAAGATGCTAGTGTTCGGCTTGATGTTGTCCACAGAAACTCCAGCGCTCTCGGCGAGTACAGATTGGATGATGGCTTCATGGGGTGGTGCTTCGGATGCTTCAACATCAGAGGCGAGCGACTGTTCAATGGCCAGCTTTGTCGGAAGCTCACCAAGGCCATGTGGCACAATTGTAGCGCATCTGGTAGGATGTTCGATAATGTCACGGAACGCAATGGCAAATTCCTTCATGAGATGGTCAAGAGCTTCCTGGGAGATGTACCGGCCATTGCAAGTTGCTCGTGCCACAAGTCCATCGTGAGCATGGTCGACCTCAACGTTCAGCTTATATTCTGCCTGCGCCGCGTAGTCATCTGCTTCATAAGGAGTCCAAATCTGTTGCTCTTCTATGATACTGCCGGTGAAGTCCGCACTCTTTTGGAAGACGAATAGAGTATCGAACAGGACGGATGATGTGCTGTTGTTAGCCTGCCTGAAAGAATTCTGTACAACTCTTAGTGGCGCGTTCTGATGGCTCTGCGAGTCGATTGTATGCTTTTGCAGACGCCGAGCCATGGACTTGTTGCTTAGGAACTTGGGCTCGAAAGAGACTCTCTGAGCAACTGTATTGAACATTGGCCCAAGAGTTCGTTCGGCACCTGCAACAGGTAACGAGCGACCTGCAAGGACTTGTCCAAAGACAACATCGCGTTTTCCAACCACACCTGCTAGTACCTTTGCATATGTCAGGAGAGATACGCTCTGCACGGTGACCTCCATTGCCTTGCAGGCATCCACTATGGCCGACAAGTCAAGGTCAATCCGGCATTCAGAAAGAAACATGCGGTCTGACGATTCAGGATGAGGAAGCTCAGGAATTTCAGTTACTTCGTATCCGAGTAGGTTTCCTGTCCAGAACTCGCAAGCTTCTTCTTGACCGCTTAGTAGATGCTGGACAGTTTCCGAGAACTGTGGCCTTATCGGAATACTGCTCTCTTCATAGCACACCGCAAGGTCTTCAAACAGGAAGGGAATTGAAGAACCATCATAGAGAGCATGATGCAGAACAATAACCAGTAGTCTGCCTTCAGGCTGGTTGACTAGAGCAGACCGGATCGGTGGGACCTCGAAAGAGGCCTCTTCGCTGAAAGCATAGAGAGAGTCGACTTCAGTCAGAACATCGGCCCCGGAAGGCAATGTGAGCTCTTCCCATTGGAAAGGGGGGTTGCTGTGTACGGCACCAATCCAGGAAGAACCAAGCTCAGCGATCAGGTGGAAGGATGTACGTAGAATATCGTTGGCTTCGATGACTCTGAAGAGAGCCTCCTTCAGCCGGGTCGTATCAACCGAGTCCTTCAACCTGATAATGTGCGGGTGAACGTAGACCTTTCTGCTTGAAGAGATTGTCTGCGTAATCATTCCTGACTGTAGGGGCGTAGTTTCGAACATTGTGGAGATCGAATCATCCTCTGCAAGGAGTCGGACCTGTTCGCCGTAGGTATCAACAGGAATACCAGTACTTGTTTTGCCGTGCCCATTGACGCCGTTCACCGGGGTTCGAGAACGTGAAGTCTGCTCCACATGCTGAGCCAAAGCACCCACACATGAGAAGCGCATAACATCAGCAGAGGAAACTTGAAGCCCTGCTTCGCGTAGCTGACGCGCAAACTGGATCGCAGTCACTGAATCAACACCCAAACTCAAGAAAGAAGCACCTTTAGTGACTTCTGCCGAAGTCAATCCGCAAAAAGACATCGTGTATTCACGAATCGTGGCTTCCGTGTTAGACCACGTGGTATTGTCCCAGTGCACAGCAGGACGCGACCCAGATGTCGATGAGTGAGAGACATTGAAGTCGTCTAGCGAAAGACTCTGACCAGATGAAATGCTCGAGAGCACTGCGTCCATCTTCTCCATTAATTCATTTCCACTGTAGGTGGAACCAAAAGCAGATGAAAAGAAGCAGTTGAGCTGAACTGTGTCCATGGAATGGTTGGCCTCGACTTCCACTGCCAACGGATACTCGGCAGGCATATTGCTGTCTAGTTCCTGCCACATGCGGTGTTCTGGTGGCGCAGCAGTCCTGATATATGAGAAAAGGCAGTCGAACAGAGGTGTCTCTGCATTGATCCATCTCTGTATGTGCCTCAGGGGAGTGTGCTGGAAATCAAGCGACCCTACAGTAGACTTTTGAACATCCGCTACAACATCATCAACTGTACTCAGGCTTGCGGTATTGAGACGACCGGGGACAGTAGTGATGCATGGCAAAAGTACTGAGGAGGCTCCGGGAACCGACACAGCTCTACCGGAAAGGACCAAACCGTAGGTCACATCTGACACACCAACAGTATCGGCCAGCAACAGTGCGAAGATTGCTTGCACCAAGGATGGTACAGTGGTCTGAAGAGCTGCAGAGCGGTGCTCCAGTTCAGAAAGCTTCACACCAAGCTTTCTATGTACGACAACCGGAGGCTCCATGGCATTGAAGTCAGTGCGGAAGGTTGTCGGATGGCATCCTTCCAGATAGCGGACCCAATGTTGCTTGGCCTTCTCTGAATCCTGACTATATACGTATTCAATGAAAGCCGAAGGTGAGCCTCTCTGAATAATAGGTTGATCTTCATAGCGCGCTGCAACATCCTCCATCAGCATCCTGAAAGATTCACCATCATAAAGTGCGTGATGAATGTCGATGAAGAGGGCAAGCGGCTCCTTGGTTTCCGAGGATTTGGCTAGAAGGAACCGCACTGGTGGGACAGTGGAGATGTTTGCAA